ACTATCAGTCTCCCTGCCCTGAGCTCCAGGATCTGGGTCCTTGTCTTTGAGACAGAGCAGCTTCACCTGCAGGGTAGTCGGTGGGCATGTGGGGTCACCTGCAGCAGTTGGTGAAACTCATTCCCTAGTGTGCTTTCAGTTTAGGGATGATCCAGGGAAGTTGTTGCACATGGCTTAAAAGAACTTCCTAACTCAGACTTGGCTGGGCCCTCCTGTGTGGGTGGGCAGGTCACGTCAATATGTGAGGTTTGGGGGTGTTGAGTTGCTTGGGGCCATGGCTTGAGATAGCAGGGCCACTCCCCAGGCCTGACTGATATCTAGCTGAAGGTGCAGCTCAGAGCTGGAGGTATGCCTTTTCTTTGTATACCAGTTCCCCTGACTCCAGCATGATTGCTTTATGCACTTTCCCACCTCGACTGAATTAATTTTAGGTCTGAAATCACTTGTAGGTGTTGAAAGGCTGGGGTACTTTGTTTTTCGGGTGGGGTTCTAGGGCCAGCATGGACACCTCACTGAGAAGGCATGGCCACCCCATGCTATGTTCCCCAGGGCATTTGCTTCTGGGCTGCCTCCCCTCCTCATGTGCCTACAGAAATAAAGCTTTAGAAGTTGCTAATCAGACAGTAGTTGGGAAGGTGTTACATTCTTCACATAGGGTCTCCTTGCTGGGGACTCCCTATAACTCTCAGATGTGACTGTTGGTCTGCACAGTTTTGTATTAGTTGCTACCCTATAAAAATCAGCTATTTTACTTATTTTAAGATTTTATCTATTTATTGAGAAAGAATATAAGCAAGGGGAGGGACAGAAGAAGAAGACCCCCTCCAGCAGGAACCCTGAGATCATGACCTCAGGTAAAGTCAGACGCCTGACTCAGCTACCTAGCCACCCCCAAATAAGCTAAAGTAAAGATCCAGATTTTTTTCAATTTTTTCATTTTAATTTTCTTTCTTTCTTTCTTTCTTTCTTTCTTTCTTTCTTTCTTTCTTTCTTTCTTTCTTTCTTTCTTTCTTTCTTCTTTTTTTTTTTTTTTTTTTTTTTTTTATGGGGAGAGAGAAGCAGGGAGGGAAAGGAGGGAGAGACTCTTAACCAGGCTCCATGCTCAGCACAGGGCCCGGCATGGGGCTCAGTCTTACAACCCTGAGATCAAGACCTGAGCTGAAATCAAGAGCCGGGTGCCCAATCAACTGAGCCACCCCAATGCCCCCAGATTTCTCTATGTGAGATCTGGCAACCCTTCATTGCCTCACCTCAGAACCCCAACACTGAGTGCAGGCAAAGGGTGGGTTTCTGATTAGCATCATCCTTGCTGCTGTGGCTTTCTCGCTGTCCAGTAAAGAAGAAAAGTGTCTTTACTACTTCTATCTCTAATAAAAGGTAGATCAAGTGGGCTACATCCCCTACTGGTCTCATTTCCCACGGCCTGGCCCTGAGGCTTATGTATTTGAGACCCTCACTCTCCCGAGTAACTTGCTGACTGGTGGATAGCTTTTTTGACCACAGCTTTTAGGTAGAGTGGGGTGGTCCCTCTCTCCAGTTCAGTGATCCAACCCTGTAGGAGAGGAGGGGTTAGGGAATGGAAGGGGCAGTCAGAAATGATGATGTGTTGTGCTAGCGCTCTCATTTCACGGATGGATGTACACAGTTCACACTCCGGAAAGCAGGCTTGTCCCGGGAGAGGTGGGGGCGGCTCCGATTTAAGTGGGACCCTGGATTGGCTCTTTTGTCCCAGTACACCCACCCGCCCCCGTTATGTCTTGCCAACCTCTGGTTTGAATTGGTGCATAAAAAGGGCAGAGGAAGAGAGGGAAGGTGGCCCCTGCTGCCTTTTTCTGTGTGCTGGGCTGATGCATGAAGCTTCATGGCAGTGGGAGAAACTTCCCAGCTAATTTGAAACGTTAAGGGAAATACCTTTTTTCTTCATTGTTTTTTTAAAAGGAAATGGATTTAAACATATTCTTTTCCTTTTCTAGGAGGTTGCTTCACTTGATGAAGAACAAAGACTTTCCATTACACAGGAAATTTTTTTTTTTTTCAGAAAGCAGGTAGAAATTAATTCACTTAATTTACTTTGGAAAAATTAATCTATTAATTGCTTCCCAAGGCTTTGGCATGTTGAGGAATGTCAGTGGGAAATAGTTGAAGGAGCCCTGCAATCCACACATGGGTTTCAGGTCTGGCCCATAGTTCAGTAGCTTGCCCTGCCTGAGGACTCCAAGGCCTGGGAAGGCGCGCCTCACTGCCTGCTCTTGCTGAATCGTGCTGAACAGAGAGAGCATACAAAGCACTGGGCACATCGTACTGGGCAGATGGTTTGTCGTAATAAACGTACTTATTATGTTTGAGAACTGGAAACTTGGTGTGGGTGGGGAGGAAAAGAATAGAAAGACAGAAAGGAAGGCAGAAAATCCCTATTTGCATTATAATTAGATTGGGGCTTGGGTTTCTAGGCTGGTTTCAGAATCTCTTTTCTGGGGAACTGCTGAGTCATCACAGCCTGGGGGGTGGTGGTGTGGAAATGCTCCTTTGGTGAGAAGAGGGGACACTCCAGGGAAAGGTGGCGGGGTCATTTTGTGCAGTTGTGTAAAGGTCAGCATCACTTCCATTCGTTCTTGACAGTATTGCCAAATTGGTTTCCATAGTAGAAGGAGGGGAAAAGATGTCAAAGCTGCAGTTTGATGAAGAATGTCATGGTAGCCAATAAAGGAAGTTTCATGGATGAACAAAAGCTGCTGCCTGGAGACATTTATCTGACCAGCCTCCCGTCTGTACTGTTCTTATCAGCAGTTTCCTGTGACACTCTAGTTTGATCACATGGAAGGATTTCTGACAACCAAGGGTTTGTCCAGCCAATGATGAGCTAGCTTCTTGGTACTTTTTCATGCCTATTTTTCCAAATTTCGAGGTGAATCATTCTAAACAGCTCTGAGATTCTTGTCCACAACCCTGGAGATCGAAGAATATACAGACAAGACACAAAGGTGCAGGGGGTGGGGTGGGGTGGGATCTGGCCTGACCCCAGGCCTCAGCTGTGGCCTCCCACCACCAGGATCGCAAATCCCCCCAGCCCGTTGCTCTAAGGACTAAAGCCAGTATCTCCATCAGGTTCTGTTTTGACACCTGAGTCTAAGATCTATACCAGCATGAATTGACAAAACCTTTTCTAAAATAAAATTGCACAGCTTGCTGAAATCAATGAAAATCAGCTTAGCTTCTGAAGAACTACAAGCTTTATATGAATCATTTAATGTGGGATACCTGGCCTTCCCTGATAGAAAAAATCTGGGAAATACTGAAAGGCACCAAAGAAGAGGAAAAAAAACCCAATCCCCAATCTCATCCTCCCCACCCCTCATCAGGTAGCTCTTTGAGTTTTCTCTGTGCTAGGCCATATCATATTGCTTTGCAGTGACTTTTTTTTTTTAATTTTTATTTTTTTTTAAATTTATGATAGTCACACAGGGAGAGAGAAAGAGGCAGAGACACAGGCAGAGGGAGAAGCAGGCTCCATGCACCGGGAGCCCGATGTGGGATTCGATCCGGGGTCTCCAGGATCGCGTCCTGGGCCAAAGGCAGGCGCTAAACCACTGCGCCACCCAGGGATCCCTGCAATGACTTGTTTTTATGTCAATCACCTGCAAGCCTCTTGAGGCCAGAGACCTGTCCCTTCTCTCTGTATCTACCCCGGACTTGGTATCACATATGGCTCAAAGCAATCAGCCAAGGTGGGGTGGGGGGGGGTTCCTTTTTCCTTTATTATTATTTTTTAAGATTTTATTTATTTATTTATTTATTTATTTATTTATTTATTTATTTATTTATTTATTTATTCATTCATTCATTCATAAGAGAGACACAGAGTCAGAGGCATAGGCAGAGAGGGAGCAAGCTCCTTGTGGGGAGCCTGACGCGGGACTTGATCCCAGAACTCCGGGATCACAACTGGAGCCAAAGGCCTAACCACTGAGCCACCCAGGTGCCCCTCCTTCCTTGATGAGAAGAAGGAACACAAGCTTCGAAGTCAGGCCCTGATTCAAATATTCACTCTCTCTATTAGTTTTCTGTTGCTGTATCACAACCACAAACAGAGCAACTTGAAACATCCCCCATTTATTGGCTCACGGTTCTGTAGGAGGAGAACTGGATAGAGGAGCTCAGGTGGGCTCAGCTAGCTTTTCCCTGCGTAGGATCTCACTGGGCCCAAGAATATTAGGTGTCAGCAAGCCTGGCCTCTTACCTGGAAGCTTTGGGAAGAAGCAATGTCTAGGTGCGTTCAGGTTGTTGGCAGAAGCCAGTTCCTTTTGGGTAGGTCTGAGGCTCCCTTTACCTTGCTGGTCAGCCAGGGACCACTCTCTCTGCTAGAAGCCACCTGCGTCCCTTCTCACCTGTCCCCTCCATTCCTCCAGAGGCCACATGGAGCCCTTGTGACACGAGTCTCTCTCTTCCTCTCTGCTACCTTGAACCCTTGAAAGGTTTTTGAGAATTAAATACAGCAAGGTATAAGGGCCTATACGGGGCTCGGTGAGGGTTCGTTCTTTTTAATCCTTCTCTTGTTGAGCCAATTTTATTTGGAATCTATCTTGTCTAATTCAGGTGTAACAAAGTGGTAAAGGGCCATCTTTATCTGAAGTTCTTGTCATTCTAAAAAGTTGTCATGATTCATCATTTTTCTGTGCAGAGGCATGAAAAGAAACAAGTGGGCAATGTGCCCTCATTGTAACTTCACTGTTTTTCCTTTCTTTTCCTTCCCCCACCCCGACCCTGAAGCTTTGGTATCTTGGCCTCAGCTGCTGTCTCTGGTAGCTCTGGGGGTGGGGGTGAGAGCTGGCGGCCTGTGTCCTCTGACAAGTGGCAGCTTCTGGTCGGAGGCTGGCCTGCCGGCACCTGGCCCCTGCCAGTCAGCGGGGGAGCCCAGCCCTGGCCACGGAGAGGATGAGGAGGGCGCCAGGGCCGGCCTGACTACTCACTGCTATCTGCCTGTCCCTTCTGTGCTTCCTCAGGAGATCCTCAGCGAGCTCACACTGGATGCCCTGCTGGACATGAACGAGGTCAAGGTGAAGGAGACGCTTCGGCGCTACGGGGCCAACACCGAGGAGTGTAGCCGCCTGCAGTATGCACTTGCCTGCCTGCGGAAAGTGACAGGTCTGGGTAGGTAGGACCAGCGTCCCCGGTGCTGAGGGCAACCCCATCAGCTTCCTGTCCCTCCACTTGGGCTGGGACATCAGCCTTCTCCAGGCCTGTCCTGGTTCTTTGGGGCCCCTGATGGGGGTGGGGCAGGTGTAGCCCAGGGCTTGTGGGACAGCTTGGAAAGGCCAGAGAGTGTGTGGATTGGCCTGACTTGGGATATAGGGTTTGCATCCTGACTGGTCGAGCTAGGAAAGCTTTTGCCATGGTCAGAGGCCCTATACCGGGCCACTAGGTGGGCCCTGTGGGATTTCCCCTCTTTGGAGCACATCTGTTGGGCTCTGAACCCTCCTGGGGCTCCCTGCATTCCAGCCCCATCCCCAACCTGGTTCACCCCCAGCCTATTCCCTACCTTTTCCTGTCCCCACTGGATGCTGGGCTATCTGCTCAGAAGGCAGTAGCATGATGAGAGAAATTGTATGGTGTTTCAGCTGTGAGCATGGACATGGCCGCCCCAGGCAAAGTGTGTAATCCTGGCATTAGAATGAGTTCCTCGGGAATTATTTGCAGGCTTTCTAAATCTTGTCTTAAACAGCTTCAACTGCTGTGATTTAATATTCCCACTACCATGCCGATAAGGCTTTAAAATGAGCCTAATGAATAGAATTAGTCCTGTTTTTTTTTTTTTTTTTTTAAGATTTTATTTATTCATGAGAGACCGAGAGAGAGGCAGAGACATAGGCAGAGGGAGGAGAAGCAGGCTCCATGCAGGGAGCCCCATGCGGGACTTGATCCTGCATCCCGGGATCACACCCTGCACTGAAGGCAGATGTTCAACCACTGAGCCACCCAGGCGTAGCAGTCCTGTTTTTAATTATCTGAGCCACCTATCTTATTTCTGACTGCCTGTGGCTTCAGGAAGCTATCGAGGTTTATGCTCTGCTTGATTTTTTTCCCCCCAGAGGGGAGTGGGCTTTATTTCTTCCTGGGCCCTACTGTCCCCCAAGTCCTCTGAACACAGTGTGGAGCGCTTCACTCAGGTCAGAAGACCTCGACAGGCCAGGCCTTCCAGCAGGTACCAAAGAAACACGAGACAGATGTAGTCCTCCTTCTCATCCCCACATTTTACAGAGAAGGCTGGAGACTGAGCCCAGAGAGAGGATAGGGCTTTGCCGAGGACACACAACAGTGGGTGGCAGAGCTGGAATTCCGGCCTCAGTCTTTGTTGATGGCTAGGCTGTGTCTACACTGTGGAAATTTAGAAGTACTTGCCACCCAAGCTGGGATTGGGGGTAACTTGTCAGCCCTCCCTCCTTATATCTGGAATTGTAAGGAATGTGGAAAAGCCAGCTGTCAAGTGGTGGTGACCTATTTGTGTTAGGAAGGTGACTGCCCATCCTGGGTGCCAAGCTAGGGAGATCACCAGCTCATTAAGCACTAATTTATTAAACCAGGCACTTGCCATGTGTGTGGCAACACCTTTTTAAGTGGTGGTGTTGAGCGCCTGTTGTAGCTAGAGCATCGGAGGCATTGGGTGAATTATCTGGGGTCCCACATTCGGCACTTGGCAGAGCTGGGTTTCTTCCTCAAAGGGTGATTTTCTGCTATGCCCCAGAGGAGGCCTCTGGGGAGGAGGGGATCTTTTCCACATCCTTCTCATCTGGTCTCAGCTTGTACCCTATGCTTGGGTACCAGCTTGGGTACCCCTATGTCCCCAAGAGGGTCCTGGCCACACCCAACCCAAATGGGTCTGCTGAGCGGTGACCATGCTACAGGGGCATCTGCTGGGAACTGAGTGGGTACCCCCATCACCGTGCCTCTCAGATCATGCCATCAGAGAGTCTGTTGCAACTAACAGGGCTTGGTGAGAGCAATTTATTTGCAGTAAAGATGGACGGTGGAATCCATCTGCCTGGGCCTAGCACCCTTAGAATCCATGGGACCTTGGTTACCTAACTCCTCTGTGCTTCAGTTTCCTCACCTGTACAATGAAGGTAATAACATTTTCTCATAGTGTTGTTGTGAGGATGAAATGGGTGAAGGTCCAGTGCTTAGGCGAGAGCCTGGCATATATTAGTGCTCTTTTCAGTATTGGGCTTACAGGGTCATGGAAAATGTTGAATACATTGACATTGTGGCCGCTGGTCTTAAGAAAGGTAAGGGATAGTTCTCTGTGCCTGTGGCTAGTGAACAGGAGAGACTATTTCTGCCCACACTTCCTGTCCCTCATCCGTAGCACACATCACTAACTGCTCCCAGGCTCTTCCTACTGATTGACTCCAGGTCATCTTCAAGAGCCACTGCTGGTTAACTGGTGTTGGAATGCATGTCAAGACCCATCTGCCACCTCTGTGCTGGTTCAGAGTGATGCTGATCAAATGGGCAACTGGAAGAGTTTGCGATTTGTTTACTTGGGTGGCAGACTTGCCCATGGGTTGTGGAACTCACTCTTTGCTCCCCTCAGTAAGAGACAGGCCAGTGCATCTAGTAGATTAGTTTCTGAGTTACAGTGGTGGCTGCAGTTCTACAAGAGCGAATGCAAGGCACGCACAGGTTGAGTAACTCCCTCTGTAGAACTGGCTCCTGAAAAGAAAGTCCTGATGCCAGGGAGTAGGAGGGAGGGTGTGTACAAAGAGCCCCCTCTTTGTACAAGAGTCGGGAAGGACAGTTTCTCCCCACCATCCCTGATAAATGGCTGTATGGGCTGGGCTTGAGCACCTCTGACCCTAGGGAGCTCTGCAGCTCTCCAGGCTGTGTCGTATTTGTAGGCTGTTCAGCACGGACAGCCCTGTGGGAGGAGGCCCAGTGCTGTGGTTGGGACTGAGGGCTCTGTTCCCGGCCCACTTCTCGCTTAGCCGCCAGACCTCTGCAGTGTCCATGGCCTCCCTGATGTGCTGGGAAGACTGAGCAAGATGGGGAACAAAGTAGATGACTCCGATGTGGAAGTTCATTTGGTCTTGAATCAAAAGCTACCTTCTCATACCTTCCACTCATTGATAAAACCGGGAGGGAGGTGTCTTCCTTCCCTGCAGTGGGGTCTCTATAGACAGGCTCATTTCTCCCTGCCCCCAGCCCTTCGGTATCTCCCCAAGCCTTCTAAGCTCCAACCTGAAGTCCTTAGGGAGGCCTTCAGGACCCCTCCTGAGCTGGCCCCAGAGGGGCTGACCAGCCCACTTCATCTCTTGCATCTCTTGGGCTCGTCCTGACCTTGACCTCTCAAGGCACAGGGAACTCTTCATAGTCACCAGATGGTGCCATGTGCTCCCTGCCTTTGCACATGCTGTTCCCTCTGCTTGGTGCACCTGCTTTGCTGCCCTCTCCTGCTGGCTCAGCTCGAGTGCCACTTCCTCTGGGAAGCTCTGGACCTCCAGGCTAGTTAGGGTCCCCCTCCTCTGTGCTCCCTTGGGGCCAGGCATCTCTGTCTTGGCATGCTACTGTCACCTTCCTTGGACTCTTGGAGCACAGTGGATGCCTTTTCCAAGGCCTGACACCCGGCCTCCAGTATATGCTTGAAAGAATGGACAGACTAGGCTGTTGAGTCGGAACTGCCCCCATGGTCTTAGGGGTCTTCTGTGTGGGCAGCCAAAAGTCATGGGCTCCTCTCAGAAGGAAGTGGCTATTGATATTTATTTATTTATTTATTTATTTATTATATTCATTCATTCATTCATTCATTCATTCATTCATTCATTCATTCCTCTTTTAACCGGATTTCTTTCCTAGCAAATTTCCAGAGCAGATTACTACTGAAGGTTGGTATGCTCCTCTCCTGGTGCCTGAATTTTCTTGATGTAGTCATTCCCTTTAAGCACCCTAGCTTCCCCTTCCTGACTTCTAAAGATCAGTTACCGCTTCCTCTCTGAGGTCACCCATTTTTGGGTTGGGTTTCCCGCATTGCTCCCCACAGACCTGGCAGCAAGAACTCTGGACAAGCCATTCTCTCTCTGGGCCTCATTTCACCTCTATAAAATGGGGACAGTAATACCTGTGCTGGTGCCCTCGTAGTCACAGGTGACATGGGTGATATGTGTGTGTGAGAAGCCTGTATGAAGGCTGGTAGTCAAAGCCTCCTGTTAAGGAAATGTGCACCCCTGGACAAAGTGTTACCGTCTCTGGGTGCTGACCCACCTCCCTCTAGCTCCCATCATCTGTGACTCGACTTCTTGGCCCACAGGAGGGGAGCACAAAGAAGACTCAGGCTGGAGTTCATTGGATGCCCGGCGGGAAAGTGGCTCTGGGTCTTCGGTGGATACCCCATCGCCAGCCAGCCTGCCCTGGCCCCCAGGGAGTGCCCAGCTGGGCAGAATGGGCAGCGGTGCCCAGGGCCCACGCTCCGTGTCCGTGTCAGCTCTGCCCACCTCAGACTCCCTGACCCCTGGCCCCTGCGAGGGCCTCTCGGACACCTGTATCCTCCTGCACACCAGTGGTCGGCTGACCCCCCGGGCCCTGCACAGCTTCATCACCCCCCCAACCACACCCCAGCTGCGAAGGCACACCAAGCTGAAGCCGCCGCGGACACCACCCCCGCCCAGCCGCAAGGTCTTTCAGCTGCTGCCCAGCTTCCCCACACTCACCCGGAGCAAGTCCCATGAGTCACAGTTGGGGAACCGCATTGATGAGGTCTCCCCGATGAGGTGAGTGCTCAGTTTGCCGTCCCCTGAAAGTTCTGTCTGCGGTTTTCCCATTATAAAGGTAATATGGGCTTTATTTTAAAAGGACAAATAAAATCAGTCAATGTAGAAGGGTGCAGAGTGTGGACACCAAGGTGGCTCAGTCAGTTAAGCGTCTGCCTTGGGCTCAGGTCATGATCCTGGGGCCCTGGGATGGAAACCTGCATCTGGCTCTTTGCTCAATGGGGAGTCTGCTTCTCCCTCTCCCTCTCCCCTACCCCCTATTCATGCTCTGTCTCTCATTTTTTCTCTCTCAAATAAATAAAATGAAATCTTAAAAAAAAAAAAAAAGGTGTGCACAGTGAAAAGCACCTGTGTCTCTCACTTCACTCTCCAGGCTTCATTATAGTTTGAGCTGAATGCTGCCTACTAGGTTCTTTCTGGACACACACACACACACACACACACACAGAATGGTACCATGCATCAGTCAGGATAGACTACATTATGCTGCAGTAACAAATAACCCCTAATTCTCTGAGTCTTAAAACGACAAAGATTTATTTCTTGCTCATGCTACCTGTCCATTGTGGGTTGGTCTCATTCCAGGTCCCAGGCTGACAGAGCAGACACTTTCTCAAACATTATCTGGAAACTTCCACTAGAGCAGAGGAAGAAAGAATTTTAGATGTTAGACACTAGTGATTAGAAGCTGTTTCCTAGAAATTCCACTCACCATCACGGCCCTACCCAAAGGAACCAAGAAATGTAATTCTCCCATATGCCCAAATGGGGAGAACTGAAATATAAGACTGAAACCTCTAATGATTGTCAAATACCATGTAGTCTTTTCTAGACTCTATTTTCTTTCCTCCAAAGATTTATTCATTTATTTGAGAGAGCATGCAAGCATGAATAGGGGGAAGGGCAGAGGGAGAAGGAGAGAGAGAAAATCTTCAGCAGACTCCCTGCTGAGTGCGGAGCCTGACATAGGGCTCAATCTCATGACCCTGAGATCATGACCTGAGCTGAAATCAAGAGTTGAGTGCTCAACCAATTTAGCCACCCAGGTACCCCTAACCAATGTTTTTCAACTTACTTTATATCTGAGAACTTTATGTACATATATCTTAAAATATCTTTTTTATGTTAAAAAAATTTTTAATCTACTGAAATGGGTATTAACAGTAACGTGTCTCAAGATGTAGAAGCCTTGTGGCTCCTATAGTTTGTAGGGGGCAGACGGTGTGAGTTACCCCCACCATTTTTCCTGTCACCCCATTGCCCTTGGGGAGCCAACCAGGTTATCAATTTTGTATATACCTATAATTATTCAAACTACTTCAGCTTTTTTTTTTTTTAACTACCTCACCTTTTTAAAAAAAAATTATTTGAGAGAGAGCAAGAGCACAAGCAAGGGGGAGCATCAGAGGGAGAGGGAGAGGCAGACTCCCTGCTGAGCAGAGAGTGATGTGGGGCTCCATTCCAGGACTCCTGGATCATGACCTGAGCTGAAAGCAGACACATAATTGATTGAGCCACCCAAGCGCCCTCAAACTACCTCCTATTCTTAACCTTTTCATATCATTGCAGTGTATAGTTTACCTACCCTCTCCCTTCCTGATAGACCTTCAGGTCATTGTCAGTTTTGCTATTACAAAAATTGCCCTTGTCGGCAGGGCACAGGGCAAGGGGGGAGTTTTCTTTGGATGCCTTCTACTTTCTTGTACCTCTGAGGGTTGGGGAACTTGGCTTTTCTCCGGACATAGGCTCTCCTTTTCAAGTGTGTAGCTCCAGTGTCCATTAGGGGTAACTTCTAGCCCTTTCCATTGAGGAATTGTCTCCATAGTCACGTAGCCAACCTTACCCCATGCTCGGGGGGCTCAAAGTCCTTACCTGAGCACATTACCCACTCCCTCCCAAGAGGGGATATCCTGGGGGACATGCTGAACCAGCGTGGTGCCATCCCACTTTCTCTCTCTTTTGTCTCCTGCAGATTTGGTAAGAGTGATTCATTTTCATCCCCTCTGCTGCCTGGGAGTCGTGTTTGTGTTGCTGTCCCCATCTGGGGTGGATTTCTTTGAACCTGTCCCAGTCCACTTGGCCTTTTCACCATTCAGAAGCAGAGGTGCTGGGAACCACCTCAGGAAGTAGCTCTAAGACAGGTGACCTTAGGATGATATGAGGTGGCCTCAGACCAGCCAGGAGCTGCTCTCTGCGAAGCAGAGACCTGGAGAGCATCCTGGGCTGCAGGCAGTACCTACTCAGGCCCAGTCTGTACCTCGTCATCCCCACAGGTGACTTCTGGCAGGGAGCCTTGCCTGCTGGGCTGCCATGATAACCAAGAGGTATGCACCATCTGTCTGGTGTAGGTGGATTTTAGCTGTCCACAGAACCCAGCTGATGTCTTGGGACCTCTCTTTTTAGGGGAGAGGCAACCTTGCCAGCAGGAATGTAGCTTGGCTCTGAATGAGGCCCCAAGAGATCGGAGGATGTGAATGAGAATTCCCCTTTAAGAGGGGAGGAGACCCACGTGGCCCCTGATCCCTTTATCCACCTCCAGGTCAGAAGTGGGGTCTTGCACTTGGCTGTTGTGAAAGGGCTTCTCACTCCTGAGTCAGAGTGGAGGGAAACTACCATGCCTTTGGGGTCTGCTTTGAATTGTCTCAGTGGAAATGCAGAGACGTCTGGTTTTTGCCTGAGCAAAATAGCAGTTTATTTTTTGTCCTGTCCTGAGCTGGCTAAGCAGAGTGACAAAGCTGTCAGCAGGGTCTTAGTGACAAGGTAGGGGGCAGTAGGTTAGGGGGATAATAGGCTGTAGCTCTGCCAAAATGAAGCTGGCTGCAGGACCACCAGAGAGGCATAGAGTGAGCGAGGAGGGAGGCTGCACTGTCCCTTCCCCAGGGCACAAGGTGAAAACTTCAGGGCCCTTACCAGAGCCTTGGAGGAGAATCCATCATCAGCATCCTTCGGATAACCCAGTCCCCACATCCTCCCAGTTGCTGTGGGACTGCTTGCCTAGCTTGCCAGGAGGCAGACAGTCTTCAGGGCGAGTATTTCATCTAGATGAGGGGTGCTTGATGCCTGGCCCTTGTGCCCTCTCACCTGCCTCGTATCTCTCACCCACAGCTGACATTACAAGTCCACTACAGGTTGTATATATGGTCGAAGTCTCATTTTTCCTACAGTCTGTTTCTCTTAGGCTGGCAGCCTAATCCCTTTTACACCCATGTACTTTGATGGCCTTGGCTGTTCACAGTGAAGTGGGTCCCAGGGGGGAGGCAGGACAAGTCAGTCCCAGAGCAGATATGCCAGAGAGAACTGTGGTAGTGTGATTGTGGGTTCCCAAATCATCAGGGGGTAGCACAGGGCCCTTTGGTCCTGATCAAACCCCCTTAGTGTGGGAGGAGGAGCCAGCACCTCCGGCATGTCCTTCCTTCTCTGTGTGCTCAGGTATGTGGTACTTGGCATTAAGTGAACCGGCACTTAATGAGCACCAGGTATGTGCCAGGCCAGCACGAGGAGGCAGGGGGTCTGGGATTGTTGCTGATTCTGAGGACAGGAGACAGCCACAGATCCCTCAAGCACCATGTTTCTGACCTTTCTGGGTTATGGTTCTTTTTGATAACTGGATACAAGTTTAGACCTACCTTCCAGGGAAAAGTCCACCCACAAAGCTTTCCAGTCCAGAGGATTCCCAGAACCCCTGAAGTCCATCCAGGGACTCAGTTGAGAACCCCTCCTCTAGGAGGAGGTAGGCAGTGCTAAGTAGGGGCAGAGGCAGGACTGGGAAGTGGGGGAGAGGCAGGAGGCAGTGGGACATGTGGACTGCCAGTGGATGCAGGGCTTGCCTCCAGGTGTTCCTCCACTGCCTGACCTGTAAGGCCTAACCACTAGGGATGCTGTTCTTATGGGGGAACCCAGGATTAGGACAGGGAGAGCCTGGGTCCCCTCTAGGAAGGCAGACATAAGGCTCATCTCAAAGCTTGTGATCTGAGACTCCTCCAGAAGCCAGTGGGACTGGCCCAAGTCGGAGCATGATACAACTTCACTTTGTCCTTGCTCTACCTGCTAAGATCTGGCTCTGGTGGCTCTCAGAGCAAAATTCTCAAGGTGCTTGTAGCTATAAAGGTCCTGGATGTGCTACATGGCTGCTCAGCCTCAGAACCTCCGCCAAAGATCAGAGAGCTCCTACCCACTAAACAAGAAGAGACCCAAATTAAGCCCTTGCAAATGATGACCTAAGGATGTGTCCATGAGGGAGCGCGAGAGGTGGGCATAGGTGGAGACTTCTGTCCTTACCTTTGCTTTGCCTGCTGCCTGCCACTGCAGCGAGGAGCCACACAGCGATGGTTTCGTAACCACCTGCAGAGACCAGACAGTAATGTTCACAGGAGAAGCAGGTCAGGCATGACGGTAACTACACTGCCCCATTGGTCTCCCTGGACCGTCCCTGTTCTGAATGTTAGGGACAACTTTATCTACTCTGCAGCAAGTCATCTAACCCACCTAGCCTGTGGTCTCTGATCTAGAAGGCCACAGTTGCACAGGCCTCTTCAGCCTGCCTGACCTGGCCTCTTTCCCCACAGATCTCCCACATGGATCCCCACAGATGGTACGAAGGGATATCGGACTGTCAGTGACTCACAGGTAGGTCCAGCCGGGCTGGGACAGGAAGGGGACGTAGAGCTGGACTGGGGTCTCAGGGCACCCACTGAGGGGTCAGTCTTCATTGTGGGTGGGTGTCCGGCCTGATCCCTGTTTCTTGGGGCTCTTTGCCTCTGGCCTGTCCATCACCCACCCATGTGGAGCCCCTGCCTGTCACCAGTGGCTGTATGGACTCACTGGACCCTCCCTGACCCCACCCCTGCTGAGGGAAGACACAGGTCCCAGGAGAAACACGGTTATGGTCTCAGGGAGGAGGAGCTGCGAGCTTCCTGCAGGTCCCACCGTGAGATCATGTTGAGGCTTACAGCTGGCCTCACATCAGAGTCCATGAAGCTTTGAAACTCCAGGGTCCCATGGCCCATCCCTAAAGTTCTTGGCTTGGTAGCCTGGATTTCCAACAACTTCTAGTGACTCTAGTGGCTGGTGTGTGTTGTCATGGGTTGACACAGGCCCATGACGTGGATGGACCAGGAGACTTGGCCTTAGTTCCCGTGAGGCTGGGGTGTGCCACAGACAACAGGCCTGCACAGCATCTCATCACCCTGGACAACCACTGGAACAGTGCCTAGGGATGCTGGTGCTCTGGCCATCCCTGCCACAGACTGTTGGGAACACACTTGTCAGGAGCTTTGCAACTTGCCAGGGACTTTCATTTCCCCCTGAGCATGAACTGTAGCGGCAGTGAGCCTGGAAGACTGGCCTGGAATTCTGGCCAGACCTGGAGACCCAGCTGTGGCTCTGAGGGCTTAAGTAATTGCCTAAGGTCATGCTGCTGGTGAGATAGTGGTTGAGTCCTCTGACTGGCACCCAGGCACCTCCGGAGCCTTGTCAGGGCTGAGTGTTGAGGAAGAGAGGCCCTGGTGCCACAATGGGGACAAGCCCTTCATGTGAAGGTCCGAGGTCTTCCCTCCTCTGTCCCCAGGTGCCCAGCGGGATCTTCCCAGGGTGTGAGGCTGGTGTGTGCCACAGATAACAGGCCTGCACGGCATCTCATCAACAGGAAGCCCACTTATTCCTCCTCCGTGAAAGTGGACAGTGACTGCTAACGAGTATGGGGTTTCTTTCTGGGGTAATGGAAATGTTCTGGGATTGAATAGTGGTGATGGTTGCATATACTAAATATGCAACTAGTGGTGCATCATCACTAGTGGTGATGTGAATATACTAAAAATCACTGCATTATACAATTTTAAAAGGTGAATTAAAAAAAAAAAGAATCATTTATTTATTCATGAGAGACGCAGAGAGGCAGAGACATAGGCAGAGGGAGAAGCAGGCTCCCTGTGGCAGGACCCTGATGTGGGCTCAATCCCAGGACCCCGGGATCACTACCTGAGCCGAAGCTGATGCTCAGGGTTGAGCATTCCCTGCTTGGTTTTTTAAGCCCTGGTTCCAGGCCTCTCTTGCTCAGCAGGAAAATATATATATATTTTTTAAGATTTTATTTATTCATGAGAGACACAGAGAGAAAGAGAGGCAGAGGGAAAAGCAGGCTCCATGCAGGTCACCTGACATGGGACTCGACTCTGAGATAACCCCTTGGGCTAAAGGTGGCGCTAAACCGCTGAGCCACCCGGGCTGCCCTCAGCAGGAAAATCTAAAGTGCTTTAGTCTAATCATGGTCCATTCCCAGTCTGGGAAGGCTTTTATGCCTACACCCTTTCTATCACTTGCCTCTTCTCAGGGCCAGATCTGACCCACCACTTTGCCCCGTTTTCAAGATTTCTGAGTGGAGGTCCTCTCACTGAGCTGCTCCCCTTATTCCCACTGTTGGCATGAGAGAAGATTGAAGCCCAGAGAGAGTCTGTGGATCCCAGATAGGTAGGATTAGGGCTCCTAAAAGGTACATCAGGGACATGAGCACCTCTGTCCTTGTCCCTGGAAGCACCCGTCTTGGCTGGGTGGAGACAGTAGCTCTCGTGTGCACTACACGTTCACACATGTGATCTCCCCAGGTCCCTATGAGGATGTTGGCCTCATTTGTAGAGGCTCCGAGGCATCCCACAGCCAGTAGTTGGTAGGAATCACACCGGTGCAGTCTGATCCCAAAGCCCATGTTCTTTCTCTATGCTCTGCCCTCGTGGTCTCAAAAGCTGTGCAGCTCTGAGTTTAGGGACCTGGGGTCCAGACCCTGCTGCAGCAACATCCCAACTGTGTGACCCCAGGAAGTCACCTAACCTCTCTGGTTCCTTTGCCTGTGTACTAAGCATCTCCACCCTGGGGTGGAGTGAGCTAATGTTCATGGATGTGTTACAAACTGTTTCCCAAATACTGTTGCTATTTGTTCTGTTGTTACTATGATCTACTATGCTTTCAAAAATCTGCTCCTCCAAAAATGTGAGTTCTTTCTTCCCTTCAGCCTTCCCACTCTGGGGACTGCCTTAGAGTTTTTCTCTGCAGGACACGTCTACCCACTCAATCCTCGTCCTTCCTTCCAATCTATCTTTTGTGTTTTTAAATTTTTTTTAATTTGGATTGAAATACAGTCAGAATTCAAGAAGTATAGAAGGGTTACTATACACACACACACACATATATATATTACACTATGTATACTATATATGCACATAATACGTATATAGTCCCCTCCTGCTGTTACCCCCCAGCCCTCTAGGTCCCCCTATAGGCAGATCTTGGCAGTTTCTTGAGATGTTTTTATAAAAGCAAATACATATGTATACTATATACACTGTTCTATACTCTGCTTCTCTTGTAAAAATGGAGGCATAATTTACATATAGCTGAGAGCACAAATGCATTTTTACATATGGATACACCGATGTGTGTCATCCTGGGGAAGATCTAGAATATTCTGGCCCCCCAGAAATTGATCTTTGGCCCTTCTGGGTCCATAGCACTACCACCACGGGTTACTGTTCACTTATGTCTTCATTGGTTACATTTTCCTATATTTGAACTTCATGTAAATAGAGTCATGTACTTCTTCCCTTGATAATGTAATTTGGAGATCATCCTGTATTTGTACAAAAAGAGCTTTCTTACTTTGTTTTCTGGCCTCATGGTGTCTGATGGTGTAGTTGGACTGTACTTTGCACAGTCAGCTGTCTATACACCTAAACAGCATAGGTTGTTTGCAGTCTTCTACACTGCAAACATACGGCAGGGAGTAACCTTGTCTGTACATCATTTGACACCAGTTGGGAGTATCTATTGGGTCACTTCCTGAGACGGGAGTCATTTGGTATGCACTCTTGTAATTTTGATGGCTGCTGCCAGAGAGCTGGTATCCGTGATCATACTAACTTTGGGGTTTTGGCAATGATGACTTTACAGCGGGGAAATCTGAATGCTCAGGGGCAGGCAGTGGCCCTGGGTGTCCCTGCCCTTCCCTGGGAAAGGGCACTAGAGGCTTTGGGATGGAACCTAGTCTCCTGGTTTTCCTGGGGCCCTTCCCTGCCCAGGCTCTGGTCTCCTACCATGTGAGCATTTTCCTGTCTACCTTCTGCAGATTCTCCACGAAATCTTGGCTGTCACAGGTCTGCCATGTGTGCCAGAAGAGCATGATGTTTGGAGTGAAATGCAAGCATTGCAGGTGATGGGAAGAGGGTGGAAGAGGGTGAGAGAGGCAAGTAAACTCCATACTTTTAGTTTAGTAAGAGTCCTACTACTTGATTCTTGGCCCTAGGTTGAGTCAGAGTGCAAGGGAACGCCTTTGAGAGTTCTTAAACCTATTATTTATAATCCCATTTGACATACCTCGGTATGATCAGCTCTCTGTAGGGAGATTAAGGAAGCATCAAGCAAGGCATTCCCAGAAGAAGAGGATGTTTGAGGTGGGTGTTGAAGGAGGAGTAGAAGTTTACCAGGTAGATAAGAAAGAAAAAGAATTCCAAACCTTTGACCTTGTACAAGTCCAAGAGGAATGGGAGGACTGTTCTTATCTATAAGGAGTTCTGAAGTTTAACCTTACATGTTAGCACACAAAGTGAGGAGAAGGGTCAGATAGACGTGAAAGCGGAGATGACCTGTGGTATTCACAGAAGAGGAGAGTTCAGGGAGAATGGCTTCTCTACAGACCCAACTTATTTCCTACCATTATGCTTTCTGGTAGGACAGAAGGATGAGGAAGGGAACCATGTTGGGGGCAGAGTGGCCTCTGCTGCTATCAGCTGCCTTCATCTTACAGAGGATGGACCTGGAGTCTCTGCTCCCAGATCACAGCCCCTTCATTGCTTTGTGACCCGGGGCAAGATGCCTGCCCTTTCTGGGCCTCATTTCACAACCGGGCAGGCGGATGATCCCAGGCTCTTTATCTATCAGGATTGCTTCAATATTCTGAGCTAGTGCGTGTAATAAAAGCATCTCGGCTCCCACCAGACCGGGTCTCGTGCCTGTCATTTGGATAAATTGTGTTTTCCTGATGACTCCCCTGACCACCAAGGAGATGATGTCAGAGCTTTCCACCAGTCTAGGTCTTCTGTGGCTCCTGGCTTTAAATTGGGGACCCCCTCTTCTTTTCAAGCAGTGCCTTTCACATGGAGAGCATAGCATGATTTTTGAGCCCCACGCTCTCCTACAATTGTGGTTTAAGGTTGGTAGGGCACCAATATCAACCCATCTGATTGTTGAGAACCACTAAGACATGGTGCAGCAGGTAGGACCAAACTGAGGGCCCTGCTCTTTCCAATTTGGCCCCCCGGCTGACTCTCAAACCACGTAGCCCATGTTGGAATGCAACAGGAGCCACCCTGTGCATTCCTGGGATCCCTTTGGTCATGTAGATGCTCTCCTTCCAATTCATCTTTTTTTTGTAAGTTCCTATTCTCTCCAGTTTTCTGAATGTGAGCGGAGGGTCTCCCTTTTCTTTAGAGAAGAGAAATAGATATGTGACCCACACAAGTTACAATGGGTGCAAGTAAAACTGCTCCACTGTGAAGATTAGGCATACACCAAAGGGAAAGTGTCCTGCTCCCCATAGCTGCTAGGGCAATTGATGTGGGATGTTCCAAACTCCTGAATTAATGTTTGTTGAGAAATGTGTGGAGATTGAGGCAGCCATGAGAGAGTGCCCAGAGCTGCTGTGCCCAGTGCCCAGAGCCCCCTGTGCGAGCCCTGGGAGCCCCGAGTGGCCCCCTGAGCACTGACCCTGCCTTCTTTCTCAGATTGAAGTGTCACAACAAGTGTACAAAAGAAGCCCCTGCCTGTCGAATATCCTTCCTTCCACGTGAGTGTTCTGCTCTTTGCTTTCACTGGGTTTGGGGTGAACTTTTCTGTAGCTTGATCTGCTCCCTGTTAATGGTTTCCCCTGTCATTTCTCAATAGAACCTCGGCTTCGGAGGACAGAGTCTGTCCCCTCGGACATCAACAACCCAGTGGACAGAGCAGCTGAGCCCCATTTCGGAACCCTCCCCAAAGCACTAACAAAGAAGGTACGCTGGTGGCAGCAGTGGTCCCCTGGTCAGCTGCTTCTGCTGGGAGAAACCCGTCCTGCTCCTTTCCAAAAGGGAGAGTTCAGCAGGGAAGTGTGGGGCGTGCAATCCAGGATCCAAGGCCAGAGGGTGGCCTTCAGGGATTCTGTCTTTAGCCATTTTTAAGACCTCATATTTTATGTTCAAAATCATAGTTAATGTGCCCATGACCTCCTTCCCCAGTTTAACCTGATGTTTCCTGAGCATGTACTGTGAGTTGGGAACTTTTTCCATCAATGTGTCTTTTGATCCTCACAGTAGTTGTAAAAATCGCATACTGATGGTACCTCGGTTTTAAATTTTTATTTATTTATGATAGTCACACAGAATGAGAGAGAGAGAGGCAGAGACATAGGCAGAGGGAGAAGCAGGCTCCATGCACCGGGAGCCCGACATGGGATTCGATCCCGGGTTTCCAGGATCGCGCCCTGGGCCAAAGACAGGCGCTAAACCGCTTCGCCACCCAGGGATCCCGGTACCTCGGTTTTAGATGAGGAAAGTGGGCACAGGGTCCCCCGTGAGTGAGGGGCAGGCCCAGAGCTGGTGTGCTCTGCCATAACACAGATTTTTGAAAGGAGAGTCTCAACACACCTGTTGTGGCCTCCAGGCACTAGTGGCTTCTGATGGCAGCTCCCTGGTGACCATACAGCCGGTGGCTTCCCCACTCTGCCCCGATGCTGCTGCGGGGGTGGCTTTGGGTTTTCAGTGTGTTGTGTCCCAGGCCTACACCGGGGCTTAGCATGCCCTTGCCTGCCTTACTGAGGCTTCTCCAAGGCTTGGGCCAGGCTGGGGTGGAGGTTCAGGCAGGGAGAAGAGAAGCAGATGGCACAGCTGATGAACACCGGGGACCTGAAGATCCAGCGTAAGGGGCTGCTCCACGTCTCACTGTCCAACAGGGGAGGCCAGTGCCTCAGAGCTGACTTCCTCATGGGCCAGCCTGTGCTGTCTCTCCGGCCTCCCTCCCCCATCATTGCATTTCCCCCGAGGTGGCGTTCCCAGCAGGAATAGAGGTAGAATGGAGGGTGTAGGATCACAGGCCTGAGCTCCAGTCCCAACTAGTCCCCTTTCTTGCCCCTGTGACCGTGGGTGAATTCCTTTACTTCTCTGAACCTCAGCTTCCTGGTTTGTAAGTGGGGATGAGAATGCTTCGTTTTCAGGGTGTTGTGAGGGTAACGAGATGACGTTCATGAATTTGCTCATCAGGAGTAGTGGTGGTGTCCAGGCTGTCACAGATAGATGCACTTTCTTGGGAGGGATGCTAGGCCCTGGATCTGCCACTCCCACCCTGCCAGTGTTGTCCTCTTGTCTGGCAGCACCAGATGCACCCCCATTTATACCATCTCACCACATTCAGTCCTTGTTGGTTCTTCAGGACCCACTCAGGCCCCTCCTCTTCCAGGAGGCCCTCCTACATGCACCTGCTCGGCCCTGCCCCGACATAGTTCTAGACTATGCCTTCTCTTACCTCACTGAGGACACTGGCCGGCTGTCATCCTTCCCTCACCCCTATTTGTAGTCGTTTTCATAACCAGAGCTAATGGTTACTGAGTTCTTGCCAGGCACTGTGCTGAGGGCCACGTGTTTGACCCATTCATTTTCAGGGCCTTCCTGTCTCTACAGCCTCTCCTCCAGCTGCCTCTGCTTACAGCAGCTCTGCCCACACCCACCTTCTCGGGTTTACACACTCACTCCTCAGGGACACTTTGCCAAGATGTGGGCTAAGGATCGGGGCCCCTGGCTGCACTCACCCCCTTCTGGATGTTTTTTGCAGCCTGACCGCATGGCACAGTCACCTGTGTGCCCGCTGAGGGCCTATCTCCCCAGCGGGTGGGTGCTCTGGAGGGCGGGGCCTTGTCGTCTTGCCTCTACCTGGTGCCTGCATCAGAGCCTGGCACATAGCTTGTGGTAAGAACATGTTGGCCTTGAACACTGAGCCCGTGAAGCAGCAGCTGGTTCTTTTATAGAGAACCACTGTGGCTCAGAAAGATGGGCTGATTTGAAGCAAGTCACATGGGCGCTGAGCTGAGGAGCCCGGGATTCAACCCGCCTGCCTCATAGCTTTTCCTCCTCCCCTGGCGGGCCTAGCCCTGGGGAACAGAGATGGGATGCAGGATCATTGTGGGGTGCACAGGGAGAGGACAGGCTCAGTGGACCCAGCTCTCTCCCCCACTGGCATGTGGCACTGGGTAGTGGTGGCTGTCCCTGGACTATGAGGCCCACTGCGTGGCTCTGGTGGGTTCTGGGGTCCCCAGAGCCTTGATGGTCTGCAGAAGAAAAACCTATAGAACTCAACATTCAATATAATTTGGCCCCAACTTTATGTTTTAAAGATTGTATTTTTAAGTCATCTCTACACCCAGTGTGGGGCTCAAATTCACAACCCCAAGATCAGGAGTCATATGCTCTACTGACTAAGCCAACCAGGTGTCCCTAGCCCCCAATTTTTTGACCAAGGAATTCCAATCCTGTCCCCTAAAGGATTGGAGTTTGGGTCTGGGAACTTGGTCAGGGCCAGTGTCCCACCTGACACAGAGTCCCCCTGTAGCCCTCTCTCAGCTGGCCCTTTGACTTTGCTAGGGCCCAAACCACTGGGCAGTCCTAACCAGTAGGTCTGCAAAAGAGTGGAGGGAGCATTTATTAGACACCACTGTGTACCACATACCAAACACTTGTCAGAGGCTAAATTCATTAAGAAACCCTGTTGTGTGCTTGGCTCAGAGCCAGGCACTGGGTTTATGAGGAGCAGGCCAGTCCCTGCCCTCACAGGACACTCTGGGGGGTGGGGGAGAGACATTTTTCAGAAACCCCCCAAGATGAGGAAAGGTGCTAGCTATAGGAGGATGAGGAGGAGCATGGTCCCCACTGGGATTGAGAAGGGCTTCTGAGAGGAAAGTATGAGCTGAAGAAAGATGAGCAGGTGTGCCCCAGGGGATGGCATTGAGGTGAGGGTCTCTCTGTGCCATTCTTCCCTTGAATATTAGACCAGTAGAATGTCAGGATGCCCTGGGCAGACTTCTTCATTTTTAGGCAGGGAGGGGAGGGTCCCAGCATGGGGTACAGGAGGCAGGCTGGTCAGGGCAGTGACAGTCCCTGCCCACTTCTGGTGTCTCTCGTCCCACAGGAGCATCCTCCGGCCATGAACCACTTGGACTCCAGTAGCAACCCATCCTCTACCACCTCCTCCACGCCCTCCTCGCCGGCACCTTTCCCAACATCGTCCAATCCATCCAGTGCAACCACACCCCCCAACCCCTCTCCTGGCCAGCGGGACAGCAGGTTCAACTTCCCAGGTAACCACACCTTGGGGCTTCTGTGTGCCTTCAGGGTAGGGTCAGATGCCCCTTCTCAGCATGCCCTAGCAGGCTCAAGGTCAAACACTGCCACCACTAAGAAAGAACATTTGCTGGGAGCCAAGCATTGTGCCAAGTTCAAGTACATTACCATATTTACACCTGATGAGAGCTCTGAGGTAGATGCTGTTATCACACCCATTTTACAGATGGGGATACTGAGGTTTCAGAGGAAGTGGCTTACTCTGAGCTGTATAACACGTAAGGGACAGAGCCACCATCAAGGCCAAATCTGTCTGGCATAAAGCCTGGATTCTTGACAGGATCCCCAGGCCGCCCTCCCATGCATGCGGTGGCTTCTCCTAAGCACTGTTCACTCAGGGCTTTGAGCTCTCAGGAAGCATGGCAGGCAGCACGGAGGGCTGGGGCAGACCCAGGAGGTCTGGGAGAGGGACTCTGAGGCTCAATTGCTTACCTGCTCTGTGATCTAAAAAAGCTGCTTATGGAGGAACTTTTGTTACCATGAAACAAAAGACCCCATGAAGTTGGGATTTGGTTTATTCCTACTGTGCAGATGAGTACACTGAGTCTCAGGGGTGCATGCTAGAGGTAACCTTTGCCTCCACCATAGCCCGGGCTGCCCTGCACTCTGTAAGGCCAGGGTGCCCCCCTCCCCACCCCCGTCTCAGCAAGGCCCACTTGCCTGTCTCAGGACATACCTTGGCTTGGGCCTCCCTCACATCTCCTTGCAATTGGTCTTGGCCCTTCGGTTGGCAGCCAGGAAGAAGGAGCAGCCACTGGGACACTCCAGTTTGCTCTGGGCCCAGTCAGGTCAGGCCCCACCTGTCACTGGTCCTTGGGGCTCCAGACCTGGTGGGTGGGTGGAGGGGTCAGGGCCACAGATTTTCCTGTGCCAGGGGACTCTTAGCTGGGGCCACATGCAGCCAGCAAGAGGCCAGGTAGCCTCTCTGGGCCCATTTTACCAATGTGCCAGGGATTTCTTTTAGGGTCACTGGGAAACTGAGATTTTTGTGGGGATCTTTTCTCTTTTGCCTGCCCCTTTGCTCTAACATGCACCTGGCTGGATACCCTCTGCATTGTCCCCATCACACCTATCCCCTCCCTGCAAGTGGAGCGACAGCCCTTTTGAGCGACCTCCTCTCCCATTCGGCTCTGTCATTATGCTCTGAAACTGGATCTTTTGCTAAACTCATAGGTTGGATTTTTCTTTTTTTTTTTTTAATTTTTATTTATTTATGATAGTCACACAGAGAGAGAGAGAGGCAGAGACACAGGCAGAGGGAGAAGCAGGCTCCATGCACCGGGAGCCCGACGTGGGATTCGATCCCGGGTCTCCAGGATCGCGCCCTGGGCCAAAGGCAGGCGCCAAACCGCTGCGCCACCCAGGGATCCCTGGATTTTTCTAAAAGGAAGTCCCTGTTTGAAAAACAGGCCACAGAAAAAGTCCGTTTTGTGATGTCAGCCAGAGCCTCTCAGCTTTCCCTGATGGGCCCTCATTGTTCTGTGCACAGAGCCCTCCGTCTCTCCAGGATCTGTGGTCTCGCTGGGCATGGCAGTGCCCCTGGGCCCGGCCTGGTGGTTAATCTGGGAAGTCATAACTCCCACCATGCCCCCATCCTGCACTTCAGGGGAGCATTTCTGTTTATCTCCAAGAATAAAGCCGGGGAAAGGCTATCTGTACCCCTGTTTGACAATATGACAACTGTGTCAGAGTCCAGAGCCCCAGCGCATCCCCTTCAGTGAGCTGGGTTTTTGTTTTGTTTTGTGTGGGGCGGTCGGGTTGCCAAGGGGGTGAATGTGGGGCTGAGGGGGGCCACTCCTCTGCACATGGCTCAGCCGGCTTTCACAAGCACCATTTCTTCCCCCTTGGGTTTTGCCCCAGCTGAGCTCACACAGATTGCACAGAGAAGCAAGCCTGGGAGATAAAGGGAATGGGCCAGGGCTCTGCAGCAGATCCTTCATGGACCAGTCCTTCCTGGGGGCTCCTGCCAGCACCCGTTTCCTTCTAGCTCCCATCCTCCTTCCTGCATGGATCACCCTGCTCTGCCCCACTCCATAATCAGCCCCCACCCCTGGGCCAAGCCCCTGCATTTGCTGTTCTGTGTGTGTGACTCACCTCCTCTTCTGTTTAAAGCTGCCTACTTCATTCATCATAGACAGCAGTTTATCTTTCCAGGTGAGTCCTTTGCATGGTTCCACTAACTGCCCCTCACGGTGAGCCTTCTGTCCAGCCCACCTGGGCACCCTTTCCCTGGGCACCTCTGAGATGCTGGAGTCTCACATATACCTATTTTGAGAGCTGACTGTGTGTCATAGCTGGAAAAGACAGTTGGGGGGGGGGTTCACCTTGAGGGGACCCTTCACAGGGGCAGTGACTTCCTGAGAGGGACCTTGGCATGGAGCCTGTTCAGCCTCTTGCATAGAGAGACTACAGGATCATGCAGCAGGGAGGTGGCCAAAATCCAGTTTGTAGAATGAAGAAAGAGACCTTTTTGCTAATGCCTTCTGAGCATCTGTCAGGATATCTTCCCCTATGTCATGACTAGGAAGCTGCTTACAGAACCTATCTTAGAAAGGGAAGCCAGTTGGGAAAAGTCTGCAGGCTTCACTTACTGACTGGGCTTCTCCTTCCTGAGCGTTGCTGCCTAGCGCCTCCTGCTGGCGATAAGATAAAATGCAGCTTTGTTTTCGAGTTTCAAGGAGACCACTTTGAATCTCTGATTTCCTTCCACAAAACTTGCTTTGCACACTCACTGTGTGCCAACCTTTGCCTTTGGCCATATTGCTTCCCCCAAGGAATTTGTGTGGTTAGTACCTATTTCTCCAGCTGAGGATGACAAGCATTCCTATTAGTGATTGGCTACCTTAATTCTTTTTTTGGGGGGGGGGCTACTTTAATTCTTAATTGAGTCATAGGGAGTCGCTGTGTGTTTAGACAAAGACTGTGGCTAATTATTTTTCTCCTGGGTTAAACAGACCTGTCCTGAAATGCTATTTTGGTTAGCTCAGCATTTTCTGTTCCCCAGCCCAGCTCCATTAGGGGAGTGATCTGGAGCATTTGTAAGTTCTTACAGGACTATTTGTATGGCTTTGGCCAGGTGTGAGCAGGCTGGCAGGGGTCAGGGGCCTGGGGCTGGTCCTGTGGAGGCTCTCTGAGCTGCCTTGGTGGTTTCACACCCTTTTTTGTCATGGTTCGCCTCTAAGAGCCTCTCTGGTTACCAGCTGTAGGACAGTACAGAGGAGTACTCAAAAGCATTGGAAGAATGTCGCTCTCCTTCCCGAAGGGTCCATCTTGCTCTGAACATATGTCAAGGAGAGAGGAGAAGGAACGTATTTCTGTTAAAATAAACATGGACACATTTTGCAGCAGAATGCAAAAGACACTCTTAATGTTTAAGGAAACATAGGAGGCCTCAGAGACACTATTCCCTCTCACTTGGGGTGCTGTTTCTCCCCACTACCACCCCCTATGCATGCATCTATCTTCTGTGGGAATATTTGAGCTGTATCGGAGAGGTAGAAAGGTCAGGCTGCCCCTGGTAGTCTGCAGACACCATGTAATGGTATCTGGGGGAGGCCTTGGCAGAGTCTTCAAGGGCCCAGGATCCCCCAGAAATGTTGCATGTGTGCACTTCCCTGATAAAGAGTCCCACGGCCTCTCTCAGATTCTCCAAGTCTGTGAGGTCGCATAGATGATCTTTAGGGGGTAGCCTTGGATAAAGCCTTAGAACTTGAGGGGGTGTTGGTAGCTGAGTTGGGCAGCTCTTTGTCCTAGAAGGCAGGGAGAGGCTGCTAATAGCTTGAGCCACTGTCACCTATAGTCTCTTTTCTTTTGTTGACCAAAGAGGAGGGAGTGAGGGGCCCAGCCAGGCCTGGGGCTGCCAGCCTCAGGGGAACCAGAGAGAGGGACCAGAAGGAAGCAGGCAGCAGAAGGAGCCCTGGAAGGTTTTGGTTCCACACTGGGGTGACCCATCTGTTTGGTGTTCCCCAGATGTGAGACTTTCAGTGCTAAAAGTGGGAAACCCCTAGGCTCAGGGTCAGCTCCTGCCCAATCTTCGGGCCCCAGGAAGTATAGACTGTGCATTTCTTCGTCTCCCCAGAGAGCTGCTCCATCAAAGAGCTGCTCCATCAACGACCTAAACACCTGGAAAGCCAAGGGGGTGGGGCCTCTGGCTCCCACCAGAAATGCCCAGCAGCTGAGCCAGACACCAGGTGTCACTACTGAGCCATCTGCGAGCCCTGCCTCTGGGCCTCTGCTGGCCTGGGCCAAGGCAGCTCACTGTTCTCCAGGGCTATTGCATCCAGCTGCTGCCTCTGAGCAGACAAGGGGGGCCTTGACCCCCACATGTCCAGTAAATAATAATCCAGTCTGCTTTTATCACCTGCTCCTAGTGCACAGTTTGGCTACAGGGGAACGGGGTTCACTGGAGAATCTCAACCTTCTCTCTCACCTGGAGTCCCTTCCCAGCACTGAGCCGTGTGAGCCAAACCAAGTACAGTAGAGGTCACTTCTGTGTCCCATTTTAGGAGTGGCAGTGGCCTGGCGAACACGTACTCAGCCCTGCGAGGGGCTGGCCGCTCGAGGAGGAGCCACTCCACTGTGTGGGCTGGGTTTGTAAGCACCTTGCCCTTTGGGGGAGGGGGAGGGGGGTCTCAGGCCTTGTGTTTGATTTTTGTTTCCTCCAGACATTTCGGCATTTCCACAGGCAGTGCCATCCCCTGATGCGGCGGACAGCACCCGGTAGGCATCCCTATGCCATGGTCTCTTTCTAGACCCATACCCTGGACCACCTCCCACCCCACCTATAAGTGTCTGACCACCGTCCCCCCTCAGCTCCAGATGCTGCCGTATGCCTGGGCCAGCCAGGCAAGATACCCCTTGGGCAATTCACTCCCTGCATCTGTGAACTCGGCCAGAGGTGCAGCTGGCATTGGATAGGGATATATGTAACCCTGGAGCAGTTTTGTGATGCAGGAGAGGTGAGCAAAGGCCACTTGGAGTTAGAGACAACTACTAAAAATGGCTCCTGTTTGCGGAACCCTTTCAGGGAGCCCGGCTCTGCCCAGCCCTTGGCTCCCATTTCCTCACACGGGCCTCAGCCTGGTGAAGGCAGGTGTCTAAGTAGGTGTCATCCGTAACATACGGAGGAGAAAGCCCGCACAGAGATGTTAAGAAATTACGTGAAGTTGGTTCTCAGGTAGAATTTCAAATTTCAAACCCCGTGTGTGTGTGTGTGTGTGTGTGTGTGTGTACGCACACACACTCAGAGCCCAAGCACTGGGCATCAGATTTGAAAGGGGCCTTGTGGTCCCTGATGACCCGTCTTCCCCACCACCCTCGGGTTAGTCTGAAGAAGGCCAAGGCCAAAGAAGGGAAATGGGGTTTGGTCTTGGGCCTCCTGTCTGTTTCTACAGCATCCAGACTGCCTTTCCCATGACCAGGTAGGTCACAGTCTGGATGCGGGCCTGGTAGCCCTCTCTCTGACCTCACATGGGAGTCCAGATGTGAGAGCAGGGTGGACCGCCCTCAGCATCTCCCTGACCAACTATTTTACCTTTAGGCTCGACCACCAGCCAAAAGCAGATGTGCTGGAGGATCACGAAGTGGAGGTGAGTGAGGGGGACATGCAGCCCAGGGACCCTGCCTTCCTTCTCTCCATGTTGTCTCAGCACACACAAAGGTGTGGGGAGCACAGGGGTGCCGGGCCAGCAAGGGCCATCTCAGGGGCCCACTGAGGCAGGTGCACAGCAGGGAAGAATGAGGAGTACAATGAAGCAGGCTTTTTTTTTTGTTTTGTTTTGTTTTTATCTTTGAAGCTAAAGTAAGTACTCGATTCTCCTGGTTCCCACCCCTAGCCCAGAGGCCTGGTGCCCAGTGTGGGAGACTCCTAGTCAGTCTAGGGTGGGGCCAGGCATCTGTGTGATGTCAAAGCGCCCCAAGTGATCCTGATTATAGTTAGGCCCAAGAACCACTGTCTTAAACCCTTGAACTAAAGCATCAGCCAAGCCTGGCTTCCATCAATGCAACGTGCCTTAGAATGTTCGCTGACTGACTTATTCCTGCTGAGAGGAGCATCAGAAACTGTTTAAACAAAAGAATGCCCAGAAAGGATAAATGGGGTTAAATTCATCTGTGCCAGGGGATGTTAATGCTCTTTGCTGGGAGTTAGATATCAGTAATGAGTAAATCTTGGAGCATTCTTGGGAAGAAGGGCCTTGGGCCCACCTGGGCCACCCACCATATTGTGTGGATGAGGACGTTGAGGTCCTGTGGTGCTAAGTGACCTGCCCACAGCAGGTCAGAGCAAGAGCTACAACCAGAACCTGGATCTCCTGATCCCATGCCTCTCTCTTGGGGCTCTGGGGAGAGCGCGTCAGCCGAGCCCAGATCCGCTGCCCAGCCCCCCATGCCCTCCCCCTCCTTCCAGGCTGAGGAGCCAGAGGCTGGCAAGTCAGAGGCAGAGGACGACGAGGACGAGGTGGATGACTTGCCGAGCTCCCGCCGGCCCTGGCGGGGCCCCATCTCTCGCAAGGCCAGCCAGACCAGCGTGTACCTGCAGGAGTGGGACATCCCCTTCGAGCAGGTGGAGCTGGGTGAGCCCATTGGGCAGGGCCGCTGGGGCCGGGTGCACCGTGGCCGCTGGCATGGCGAGGTGGCCATCCGCCTGCTGGAGATGGACGGTCACAACCAGGACCACCTGAAGCTGTTCAAGAAGGAGGTGATGAACTATCGGCAAACGCGACACGAGAACGTGGTGCTCTTCATGGGGGCTTGCATGAACCCGCCCCACCTGGCCATCATCACCAGGTAACCAAGCCCCTGCCCATCCCGCCATTGCCCCAGGTGCCCTGTTATCTGTGGGGACGCTCTGGGGAACTGGGAGGCCTGAATGGGGAGAGGTACAAAGAAAGAAACCAAAATAGCTTCCCATCATAGCCCCAGTGACGTGAAAAAATAAAATGGTGCCTAAGGTTAAAGAAAATCAGATGTTCTAAAAAGGCACAGAGTGAAAACCAGCCTCCTCTCATCCCAACTGGGTGCTTCTCCCCCAAAGGCGGAAACTGTGAACAGATCCTTAGTGTGCCTTCTGTTACTTTGAGAAGTTTGTTGATACTTGTGGTTTTTTTTTTTTTTTAATTTTTTTAAAGATTTTATTTATTTATTTATTTATTTATTTATTTATTTATTTATTTATTTATTTATTTATTTATTTATTTATTTGACAGAGAGCACAAGCAGGGGGAGTGGGAGAGGGAGAAACAGACTCCTCGCTGAACAGGGAGCCCTTGGGACTCGATCCCAGGACCCTGGGGTCATGACTTGAGCTGAAGGCAGACATTTAAGCGACTGAGCCACCCAGGCACCCCTACTTATGTTTTTTAAACTATTCCTTTGTAAAAATAGAACAGGTTCTACTGGATCACTCCAACTTGAGTGCAATGTTCTCCAACTTGAGTGCAAGTCTGGGGCCAAGCGTAATCTTTCAATGCTTACCCAGCATTCCTGGCACGAAGTGGAACCCAGTGGTGTGCTTGGTTCCTAGGTGGTGGGGAGGAAAGCCGAGCCTGTGGTGTAAATACTCTCACCACAGCTGATTTCAAGCTAACGACATGTTCTCCCTCCGGCTGATCACTGGTCGCCCAAGTTTATTTATTTAGTCAGTCCTCTTTTGCTGGGCACTTTGCTATAGTGAACGTGTTGGTGGACTTCTGTGAGTGCAAGTGCTAGGGGAGAGTATATGAATGTGCTGCTCTGAGGTACATTGTCCCTTTCTACTCCAGAAAGTGCTCACCAGTCCCCCCTGCCCCCCAACTTTGGTGTATGACAGTCCATTCCCCCAGTACCAGGGCTGTGAGGCTGCCCTTGGCATTCAAAAAATTGTTGTTGGGTGTTTACTTTTACAGTCAGGAACAGTAATTAGAGGTTACTGAAGGTAGTTTGGAATATACAGGGAGGTTTCAAAAAGCAACTAGAAATCACTTTAATCCTATCAGCCAAGAGTCCCCTCTTTAATATTCTGATGACATTCCCCATAGCCAGACCCTGTGCTTTGAAAGAACCTTCGTCCCCCCTCAAATCACCTGTATTTACTAAGTAAAAATTCATTTCCCTTTTTCCTGTTTATCAGAGATGTAAACCAGAACCACCAGAATTCCTGAGCACTGTGATTCGGGCAGGTCACACAGCAAGGGAACAAAATTCCAGCCCAAAGCACAACATGATGCTTTAAGTTATATCAGCTCAGCAGCCCCCAGGGCCCTAGCACCCCCGGCGCTGTCTGTCTATTCACCTGTCCGGCTCTATTTACCCACCCAGGGCTGTGAGAATCTCAGTCTGCTTAAAGGAAATACATATAAAAAAATAGCAAAGCATTCATTACCCCCCCCAAAAAAAATCACATTTTAGGATATGCTGAGGGGATCAGAAAACAGACAAGGAACCATCAGCCAATGTCCCAGACCCTTCAGCCAGTTCTCAAAGTCTCTGAGGCTCTAAGAATCCTCTCTCCTTGGAAAAGTTTCCTAAAACTAGCCCCTTCATGAGCTGCCTTAGTGAACTCTTGGAAACAGGGGGCAATGAGCCATACATTCTCTCTGGGTGCTTGCTCATCCTGGGTTTTGGGAATCCGTGCAGGGGGAGACCTGAAAACTCGAGCCCATTGTCTGGTAATCACTCTGATATCCTTGAAGCCACCCCGCTCCTACACATGCCTTTACTGTAATAAAATCTCTATATTCAGAAAGCAGTAAAAATGGTCATGAGAATCATTATAGACAGTACCAGATGTTGCTTGATTATAGTCCTCTAAAAGACCAGGATCTTCCCTGAGTTTGAGGGGGGACATGTTTCGGCCTTGAATCCTCCAAAGGTAAGCTGCTCTGGGTTGCCAGGAGTCTCAGTGAACTGGGTGTCCTGTTCTGGGGTGCATAGGCCCTGAGCTGCAGGGATCGGGGGACATGTATATGATTTTGCACACTCAGGCCCAGCCCAAGAAAGAATGGTTGTCAGGGGCTTGGTTAAGAACGAGGATTCTGGGGGTGCCTGGGTGGCTCAGTGGTTGAACATCTGCATTTGGCTCGGGTTGTGATCCCAGGGTCCTGGGATCAAGTCCTGTATCAGGCTCCCTACAGGGAGCCTGCTTCTACCTCTGCCTATGTCTCTGTGTCTCTCATGAATAAATAATCTTAAAAAAAAAAGAACAAGGATTCTGACCCTCACAGTCCAGGGGACAGAGAGAGTCCTCCAGAGGCCGGGGGCACAACTCTCTCCATGACTTCTCTGAGGCTCCCAGCGGGCTGGGGTTCGGCTGCACTGGCCCCATCCCTCAATCTGACCTCACCACTCTTGACAGCTTCTGCAAGGGGCGGACTTTGCACTCATTTGTGAGGGACCCCAAGACGTCTCTGGACATCAACAAGACCAGACAGATTGCTCAGGAGATCATCAAGGTAAAGGGTTATCCAGCTGGTTCCAGGGTTCCTGGCTGTCCCCTGCTCCGTTTCTTCTCTTAGCTAGGGTTCCTCAAGGGTAGGACCCCATCGCCTTCCCTCGTCTGTGTCTCAGCTACTTAGAGCCAGGAGCTAGATGCCCAGTCTGTGATGACAGATGAATTGGTTGGAATGCAGCAGGCTTTAAAGACACATGGCCTGAGTTCGAATCCTGGTAGCACCAGCTGTGTGGCTCTGGGTAGGTCATTCAGTCTCTCTGAGCCTTGGCTTCCTCTCCCGTAGCATAGGAATTCCACCGTAGCCTCCTCCATTGGATTGGTGCAAGAAAAATCCACTGAGAGCATGTTGGGCACAGGGCCTGGCACTCAGTGACAGTTTGCTAGAACTGATTAAGGGCAGGGTAATATCCAGATCTAAGTTTCATGAGGACTGGCCTTCAGGCAGCCTTTTTTCTTTCTTTCATCTTTTTTTAAAGTAATGAAACACAAAAGAAAAGTTTCTTTTTAAGTTGCTTTCTTTAACACCAAGCAGGCTTGGATAAAAGCCAGACTGCTGCTGGATAGGGGTTCCTCTTCTCTTGTTTTTGTCGAAAAGCTTGCTGTAACCAGCTTCCCTCAACTCTCTGTCCCCTGCTTTCTCCTCTGCGTTCACTCCTACCTTTCCTTTCTCTCCCTCCCTCCTACCCATCATATGTGTGTGTGTGTGTGTGTGTGTGGTGTGTCTTTCACAAGGAAAACACCAAAAAAATCACAGTGACTTTTATGAGCAAACCAGGATTTCCACGTGACACTTAACATGTGGCTAAATTAAATGAATTAAATAAACTTTGAAAGCCTCGAAATTGAAATAGCACATTTCTGCCTTCACTTGCAGTATGTCTCGTTTCAGAGGAGTTGGAGGGACCTACTGGGTATCACACTTGTTTCAGACTGTCCCCCAAACTTGCTGGGTCCTATTTCCCCTCTCGCCCCTTCTCTGCCCTCCTCCCTTCTCCTTATGGTAAGAGCACTGGGGAGTCGTGGCTTGTTGCTGACTGGCTAAGGTCAGATGAACAAGCCATCCGGAAGATCCTAGGGGCAGATGAGATGTTACTTCTGAGACTTTAGAGCTGCAGAGCCGGAAGCCACCTCTCTGCTGTCTTGTTTGGTTTTCCTCCTGCCAAGAAGCTGTCCCTTGCCCCCTTCCAGAACTTTCTAAGCCACTTCCTTTTGTACTCATCTGTGGTGTTTTGAGGTTCAAAGTGCATTAACAAGGTCCTGAACTTTTGGCTAGGTTTGTGACTTGGGGACTACTTGGGAAACAGTATGACATTGTGGGGAGGGGAGTCTGTGCTCCAGACATGGGTGCTTTATGTCTTGTCTCTTAAAGCTAGCTCTTTGAGGCTGTGGACTAGCCTGGAACCAAAACTTCAGCAATGCTGCTTAATTGCTGTGTGGCCTGGGGCAAGTGACTTCCCCTCCCTGAAGCTTGGTTTCCTCATCTGTTCAGTGGAGACCTTTTACTGCATAGGATTTTGAAGATGACAGGAAGGGACTTGCATGAGGCATCCAGCTCTTTGCCCAGCCCAGGTGGGGGCTGAACCATTGTCCCTCATCTTCCTGCCCCCCTGACATGAGGCTTGCTATTTTCCAGGGCATGGGCTATCTACATGCCAAAGGTATTGTGCATAAAGATCTCAAATCCAAGAACGTCTTCTATGACAATGGCAAAGTTGTCATCACCGACTTCGGACTATTTGGGATCTCGGGCGTGGTCCGAGAGGGCCGGTAAGTTGGTTTTGAGTGTCTGGATAGAATAGGGAGGAGCTGGGCAGTGCCAGCCAGGCTTCGGGGTGTCACTGAGGTCTGGGCACCCTTGCAGTCTGTTACTGAGGGGCAGCCTTCCCTCATACATAGCCCTGCATTCTCAGGCTGACCTTCATAAGAGGCTAGGTCCCCTGTTTGCTCACTGACTTGGGCGGAGGGCCAAGGTTCATGTCCCCAATGAGGAAGAGCATCCGATTTTATTTCCCCAAATCTTGAAAGGCAGGAGTGGGGAGAAAGGCTTCTCTCCAAGAATCTGGGGGACCGCCAGGAGGGAGAGTAGCACGTTATCTGGAGATGAGCCCCAGGCCAGGTTCTAAGATCCACAGGTAGGCAGTTATCCTAGGGTAGAGAATACACCCCCTACTGATACCTGTTACCGGCCCACTTTCCTGAAAGAACCTGGTTTCAGTTTTCTGTAACATTCTTGCCTTTGCAAGTGTAGGAGCAGCACTGTTTTCTGGGTCATGCATGGGTGGTGTGCTGGCCCTGGGGCATAGGTATGCTAGGCAGCCTCTCCTCCCCTGGCCAAAAGGCCTCATGTCCTTGCCCTGGCTTCTTGGCCTCCAGGCGTGAGAACCAGCTGAAGCTGTCGCATGACTGGCTCTGCTACCTGGCCCCGGAGATCGTACGAGAGATGACCCCTGGGAAGGACGAGGACCAGCTGCCGTTCTCCAAAGCTGCTGATGTCTATGCATTTGGGTGAGGAGGCCCTGACATCCTCCCTCCTGTGGCTCTAAGGCCAAGTGTGACCCAAAGAAGGGGCCCTGCTGGCATTGGGGACAGGGAGGAAGGGGGAGTGTTGTGCTTTGAGTCCTGGCTCTGCCTCTCTGGCTAAGAGACCACATCCTGGACCTTCTCTTTTCCCTGCTCTAAAATGCAGAGAATTAACAATACCTCCTGTAAGGTTGCTTCACGAGGACTAAGGTGATTTCTAGGTGTCAGTCTCACCCCTGACCCCGTGAAGGCACTGCCCAGAGCTCAGAACTGTCCCCCTGGGAGAACCATAGGATCCTACCAGCCAGTCTCTAGTGCCCCACGAAGCTGACCAAAAGAAAAGTAGCATAGAAACATAACGTGAGGGCCACCTGGGTGGCTCAGCGGTTGAGCGTCTGCCTTCGGCTCAGGGTGTGATCCCGAGGTTCTGGGATGGAGTTCCACATTGGGCTTCCTGCAGGAACCTGCTTCTCCCTCTGCCTTATATGTCTCTCCCTTCTCTCTGTGTCCTCATGAATAAATAAATAAAATCTTAAAAAGGAAAGAAAAACAGATAAAATCTGTTTTAATAATGTGTCTAACTCAGTAGATCCAAAATACTATTATTTTGACATGTAATCAAAATTTAAAAATGAAGGAACCGTTTGACCCCACAAAGTTTCCAGAATCTGGTATAGAATATGTTACAGCACACCTCAGGTCTACTCCCCACATGTCAGTTGTTCAGTAGCCCCACGTGGCTAGTGGCCCCAACCCTCGGCAGTGGCAGTTAGGGGCTTATGGAGAAGGCCAAGGTGAGTCAAGAAAGGTGAGGGAATTTGGAGAGGCTAGGTGAGGGCCTCACTGTGTAATCTCTGGGTACTTTCCCTTAGGGGTAGTGCTTCCATCTCCTGACCTTGGACTATTACTTCCTGAGCACCTCTGTGTTACATTCGTTACTCCCCAAACAACCTTGGACATTGGCATTAGCCCTACTGAGATTAGACGGGATCTCTCCTATCCAAGTACTAACCAGGCCCCACCCTGCTTAACTTCAGAGATCAGACAAGATCAGGTGTGTTCAGGGTGGTATGGCCGTATTCTAGACAGGATCCTGTACCAGGAACTCTGTTCAGAGCCTGTGCAGCCTCAGACTTCCCACCACAACAGATATGTAGGGCCAGGGGTCCTCTTGTACTCAGGAGGAGCCACCAGGATGGCATCACAGGATTTCTGGAAGCCCGGTGAGTGGGGAGAGCTGGAGGAGGATCCTGGATGCTCTGGCTGGGTTCCTGGCACTGTGGCAACAGAAGCCCCTGGGCATGAGCTGGGCCAGGTGGTTCCAGAGCTCACGCTGTATGGACCGTCCCCACAGGACTGTTTGGTATGAACTGCAAGCAAGAGACTGGCCATTTAAGAACCAAGCCGCAGAGGCCTTGATCTGGCAGATTGGGAGCGGAGAGGGTATGAAGCGCGTCCTGGCCTCCGTCAGCCTGGGGAAGGAAGTCACTGTGAGTAGCCACCTGTGTTCCGGGAAGAAGGGTAGAGGGTGAGCCTGGGCACACGATAGGTGTGCCCTTCTTCATTCACTCACCTGAGAAATGAGCCCCGGAGGCAGAAGTATGCCGGGTGGGTCTCCTTGCATCTGGCTAATACAGCTGTGTCTTTTATTACTCAATTATTTTTCTTTAGAAAAAGCTTTAAAAAAAAAAAGACTGGAAAGAAATAAAGATCATAGTTTTAATTGAGTTATGAGTTGAAAAGATAGTAGTGCCCTGTATCTTAGATGAAAAAAGGTGATAAAATCCTCACTGTACAGAACACTGACAGGGTTTTACTGTGGCGTCAAATCTCTTCTCCAAAATGTTCTTTATAACTGTTCAAGAACAAATCGAAGTTTCCACAGCCTATTTCTTGCCAAAATATCAGATTGTAATACAGGTACTGACCTATTTCCAGATACCTTTGATGGTTTCTTTGCATTGCAGTTTATAAGTTTCCTGGCCCTGACACAATGATGCAGGCTCCTGACTATTGAGTAGTTGAGAGAACACCTGAGCAGCTACTCAGCTTCCTGTCTTGTTTTTTTTTTTTTTTTTTTTTTTTTTTTAAGATTTATTATTTGGGAGAAAGAGCGCATATACATGCATGAGTGGAGGGAGGTGCAGCAGTGGAAGAGAGAACCCCAAGCAGGCTCCATGCTCAGTGCAGATCCCAACTCAGGGCTCTATCCCATGACCCTGAGATCATGACCTGAGCTGAAATCAAGAGCTAGATGCTTGGTATGCCTGGGTGGCTCAGTGGTTAAGGATCTGCCTTCAGCTTTAGGTGGTGATCCTGGGGTCCCAGGATTGAGTCCCATATCGGGCTCTCCATGGGGGAGCCTAGCCTACTTCTCCCTCTGCCTATGTCTCTGCCTCTCTCTGTGTGTCCTCAGGAATAAATAAATAAATATTATAAATAAATGAGATTTTCATGAGAGACACAGGGTGGGTGGCAGAGACACAGGCACAAGGAGAAGCAGGCTCCATGCAGGAAGCCTGATACAGGACTCAATCCTGGGACTCCAGGATCATGCCCTGGGCCAAAGGCAGGCGCTAAATCACCGAGCCACCCAGGGATCCAATAAAATCCTCAAAAAAAAAAAAAAAAATGCTGGACGCTTAACCCACTGAGCCACCAAGATGCCCCTTAATTTTTTTGAAGATATATGTTTAACAAAATCAAGATCATAACATATAGCTGATTTTTTTAATCATGACATTTTTTCCCCACATGATCTTTTGTTATCCTTATCTCAAATCATTGACAAAACCTTATTTTTAAACCTGTCTACCTTTGTGTCCTATGGCTTACACCATAGTCCAGCTACTTCTCTGGGGACACCTGGGTGGCTCAGTGGTTGAGAGTCTGCCTTCAGCTCAGGTTGTGATCCAGGGTCCTGGGATGGCGTACTGCATTGGGCTCCACGTGGGGAGCCTGCTTCTCCCTCTGCCTATGTCTCTGCCTCTCTCTCTGCCTCTCTGTCTCTCTCTGTCTCTCTCTATGTCTCTCATGGATAAATAAGTAAAATCTTTAAAACAACAACAAAAAACAACTTCTCTGTTGTTGGACATTTAGGCTATTTCCAATTTTTGCCCATTACAACAAAGTTATTAAGGACACCTTTGTGTAAACTAGAGTGTACAGATGTGTTTGTTTTATCCCCCCCCCCCCCGCAAAAAAAAAGAGTAAGTTGCTTTCCTGGCAGCTATCTCGTTATATTTCTGCACACTTAGAATCTTAGAGCACAGAGGTGGAGTCTTCAAGAGGGTGAAGGCCTGGAGCAGAGTCTAGAGCCCATCAGAGGCAAGGACAAGGGAGTCAGAGTTCAGTGCTGGCTATAAGAGTCATCTGGGAGCTTTTAAAAATATAAGGACCAGGCCTTTACCAGAAAGAAAGATTTACTTGGCCTGGGCTGAGGCTAAGATCATAATTTTTTTAATCTTTCATTTTAAGTAAAGCTCCTCCTAGTGCACAGCTAGAGTTCTGTTCTGAAAGGATACCTTATAGAAAGGATAGCTTACAAAGGCTATGGGTCCTTTGAAGCCTTTCAAGAATAGATTAGGGACAGGGAGCGGGGAAATGGGGACAGATAAAGTTCAAGCAGTCAGCTTCTGGCTCATGAAATTTGGCTTTCCTTTTTGGTCTTTTTTTTTTTTTTTTTTAACACATTGCCATTGGAGGGTAGATGAGACATTGGTCAATGGCAATAAAAAGTGATTTTGAATCATAGTCAAAAGCAGGGAGTGCCCTCTGGGGGGCACTGTTCTCTGCCCCTTCAGCCACACTGTTGTAAGTTCACCACCAAGTTTCTGCATCAAGGCAGCCACAGTGAGTTAGTGTACACAGGATGACATCAAGAGGCCAGAATGATTCTTAATGAAAACCACCAGTTCCTTACCTGAGGTCACTCTCCAAAAGACCAACTTCTTGTTCCATCACCTCTTCATTCCCTGTCCCTCTGCCCCTTCTCTGTTTAACTTCCATCAGCTTTCCCTTTATCCTTTTATTGAAATTGATTTTGTGTTGACATGATTAAATTGTCCATGCTGTGTCTATAGATTGAGGCTAAAAATGAAAGGACGATAAATATGTGTACATTATTATAATAGATTGTAGTTGCCATTAGCTGCTGATTCAGTAGTTCACTACATTCTCTTTTTTGCGGGTCCACTTCTTTTCTTCCATTCTATCAGTTATTCAAAGGCTCGCCACAATTTTGTTGGCTTCACATGTGGACCATGGTTTTCTTGTGCACCTTTAGGTTTTTCCTGTAGTTTCTAATTGTCTGTCTTTCTTCTTGTTGAGAATAGTCACAGTCACCTTTACCATATTCCCGAGGTCTTGCAGTTCCTACATACTGTTTATGGAATGCAATTTGTTGCATTCTTCCAGGGCCCACTGATTTCTTGTAACCTGGATAATGGAATTTTTGGCCTACTGTAGTGCTGTTATCCTTCCATTTCTTTTCAATCCTGGTTCAATACTAGAATTTTTTGTATCTCATGTCTTCCCATTTCTTTATTTACATTCCAGCAAAATGAGAGTGAATCCTAGGCAGCCCGGGTGGCTCAGTGGTTTAGCATCACCTTCGGCCCAGGGCATGATCCTGGAGACCCTAGATCGGGTGCCATGTCGGGCTCCCTGCATGGACCCTGTGTCCTGCCTCTCTTTCTCTCTCTCTCTGTGTCTCTCATGAACGAGTAAATAAAATATTAAAAGAGAGAGAGAGAGAGAGAGAGAGAGAGTGAATCCTAAAGGAACTTCCTCCCAATGGATGCATAAGAGATAATTTTTGACTCCTCACATGCCTACACAAGTCCTGATTTTGTTTTTACACCAAGAGGTTCATAGTAATCTTCCCTAAGAACATGAAATTTTTGCTCTACTGTCTACTAAGTGTCCAATGCATTGTTGAAAAATCTGATATTAATCTTAATTCTCAGTCTTTTGTAGATGCCCTGGTTTATTCTCTTTGGGAATGTCTAGGATCTTCTCTTTATCCTTGTTACTTTATTTTTGTTTTTATTTTTATTTTTGTATTTTAAAGATTTTATTTATTCATGAGAGACACAGAGAGAGGGAGAGAGAGGCGAGGCACAGACACAAGCAGAGGGAGAAGCAGGCTCCATGCAGGGAGCCTGACATGGGACTCGATTCCGGGTCTCCAGGATCATACCCTGGGCCGAAGGCGGCGCTAAACCGCTGAGCCATCCGGGCTGCCCTATCCTTGTTACTTTGAAATTTCATTAAAATGTACCTTATAGAATAAGTTCTTTTTCTTGGTTTGATTTTCTTTTTTCAGTGAGGTCCCTTCTTCTCTGGGCCTTTTCAGATGAAGATTCCAGTTCCCCTCAAAGGTTTCTGAGAAATTCTCTCTTATTAAGTCTTCATTATATGGCTTCTGCCCTATAGTTCCTTTGTTTTCTCTTGTGGAAACTTCCATTGGACAGAAATCGGTCCTTAGTGAGGTTCTGTGTCTTTTACCTTCCTTAATGTTTTCTATTCTCTATCGAAAATTGAGTGCTGGGGCGCCTGGGTGGCTCAGTGGTTGAGTGTCTGCCTTTGGCTCAGGACATGATCCTGGGATCGTGTCCCGCATCAGGCTCCCTACAGAGAGCCTGCTTCTCCTTCTCCCTATGTCTCTGCCTGTCTCTCTGGGTCTCTCATGAATAAATAAATAAAAACTTTAAAAAATAAAAAATAAATAAAATTGAGTGCACAATCTGAGGAATTTCCTGGATCTTATCTGCCAGTATTCCTAATATTTTGTTTCAGAAGTTATATTATTAATTTCAATCTCTTTCTTATTTGTTAGTGTGTTTTTTTTATTGCATCCTGATCTTCTTTTATGGACAGAGTAGGTTCTACACACACACACACACACACACACACACACACACACACACACTTTTCTCCAGGGTTGGTGTTTTGGTCAGTTTGTCTTTCATCTCTTGTTTTCCTGACCTGGTAGGCAACCCAATGAGGTCTAGTTGTACTTAAGAACAAAAACCTGAGTTGCTGAGCCTAAGTAGGTGAGCACTTTCTGCCTGGTCGTGTGTGTAGGCCTGTTTTCTTGCGGGAGCTCTCCTGAATCGAAAGGCTGAGAGGTGTGTGGGAAATGTGCAGATCCAGAGAGTAGGCAGCAAACTATCAAAGTGAGAGGAGCTTTACTCTTTTTTCTAAGTAGGCTCCATGCCCAGCGTAGGGCTTTAACTCACGACCCTGAGATCAAGACCTGAGCTGAGATCAAGAATTGGACACTTAACCAACTGAGCCACCCCGGCACCCCTGGGCTGGGGGGCGGTCAGGACAGGTGTTCTGCTGTTTCATCCTTTTGGTCGCTCCCAGCCTCCATTCTTATAATACTTGGGCTTCTGCCTCTGATGCATCCCGTCCGCCCCACATGTATTCTGAGCTCTTGCATTTCTCTGCTTTCCATTCCAAAAATCTACAACCCAATTTCTGATCTCTTTTTTATTACCTGTTTATCCAGCCTTGTTCCTGTTATTCCAGGGCAGTCTAAGAAGGAAAGAGGGGAGACAAGCTCATGCACTTTGTTTTCAACTGGAAGCATGAGAGCTTTTCTGAGATTCAGTTGTTTCTCAGCCCTATTCTAGAAATGACCAATCTTCCAAATATTGGCAGAATGTTCAGGGGACCACCAGATGGAGAAGGGGGACTCGAGAGCATCAAAGGGACCCTGTGCGAGTACCCCAGCTGTGCCCTCCTCCCTCCCAGCCAGCTCTCACACCCACTAATGCTGGCTCTGCTTGCAGGAGATCCTCTCTGCCTGCTGGGCTTTTGACCTGCAGGAGAGGCCCAGCTTCACCCTGCTGATGGACATGCTGGAAAAACTGCCCAAGCTGAACCGGAGGCTCTCCCACCCTGGGCACTTCTGGAAGTCTGCTGAGTAAGTTTCCCCTGAGTGGGCCAAACTCACCAACCAAGCCTGTACAGCCTTATCTGGTTTCTTAAAGGGCACCGTCCAATCTGTCTGCCTACAGTGTTGATTCGGGGAATACACAGAGCAGATTAGCCAGAGGTAACTAGACTCGTCCCCTTGCCCAAGTGATACTAGGATCTTGTTTATTTCAGAGAACTCCTTTTGAGAGGCAAGTATCTCTAGTGCTCTTCTGTGAAAAGCTGCCTATCACTATTATCAGGGCAGTGCAGACTCTGGGCCAGGACAAGAAGATTTTGCCTTGGAAGGGGCCACACGGGGCCAGCTGGAAGCCAGAGCAGCATGGGTCCTAGAGCATCAGCAATGTCAGCAGAGCGGCTATTACTTAAAAGGGTGCAGACTCGAGACAGCTTTCTAGCCCCACATCAGCCACCTGTTAGAGGGCCACATGGCCAGAGTTTATGTGCTGCTTTGATGCTGGAAGTCCATCTTTCTCCTGTTGAATCACACAATTGTTTGTACCCCTTGGTACTGGGCAGCCTTCACTCCTCTTGTACATTCTGTCTCATTCCCCTTTTGTTCTGTCCCTCTGGCACACTCTGCCTGAACGCTCCAAAGCAGACCTTTGCCCTGCCATAAACCCTTTGTGAGAATCTCAGGAAGTCATTTGTTCCAGGCCTCAGTATCCACAGCTTTTAAAAGTAGGGCTTGGGCCAGAGCGGGGTGGGGGGTGGGTGAGCATGGGAAATGCATTAAGCCTTACAGACATGGAGGGAAATTTCAAGTTACAGCTCCTGTCCCTGGGATTTCTAGTGTGCCCAGCAGCGGTGCGAAGCTATGACAGCACTGTGGACGGTCTGTATTGCAAGGCAAGGACTCAGCTCTGCCATTTGATGTGGGAGCAGTCACAGACAGCATGTAAACCAAGAGTGGCTGGGGGCTCTAAGCTAATTATGATGCTCCAACTTAAATTCCATGCAACTTTCACATACTGCTTTTCGAGGGAAAAAAATAAAAGAAGATTTCACAATATGTGACGCTCACTCAACCACTGAGCCACCCAGGCACTCCTGATATGAATGGTTTTAAACTTTTTTCAGGCAAAGGGCACTTTCTAAAAGTGCAATCTCCCCCCAAAGTCCCAATATTATAAAGCAGATAAAATATAGCTGCTCTTGGTAGTTGTGTGGGCAGGAGCCCATCCACATCCCCAAGGTGGCTCCTGGGGTCCCCAGTCATGATGCAAGTGGCACCTGCAGTCACATCACAGAGCCCCTGGAGAAGCGGCACTTGGATCTTCTGTCTGTTGCCCAGGCATGTGGTGGCAGCAGCACTCCTCCTATTCTAGTTGGTAAATATTTTAGGTTTGTAGGTCATATGATCTCTATCATCTGTTCTTGGTATTTTTGGTTTTTGAATTTTTTCTTTTAAAACTTTAAAGTGATTAATCTGTTTGTGGCTGGATTTAGCTTGTATTTAGTTTGCTGGCCCATCTTGAAAACAAACTGTATTGGGTTTCGAGTCATGGGTGAGAGGAGGCCCAGCACAGGTCACCCGAGGGTGACCAGAGGGTGCAGTAGGAGAACCACTGATTTAGGTCATCTGCAGGGACAGCCTAGAGGAATGACCGTTTGGGGTTGGGAATGCTGTCTCTTAAAATGCCACATTAGTTTCCATATTTTGCTCTTAAGGTGGGTCAGAGTCTAAGGCAAACAGGGCACAACAGAATGTTGTGATTAGAAATGTGGGTTCAGCCTATCCATTGCAGAGTGCCTGCTACACACCCACAGAGACGAAGGCCAAGGCCAGGCCTCGGCCAGCCAGGAGTTTCTAGTCTAATTGGAGAATGGATGAGGGAATGATTATAACATGCTAAGAGCTATGATGAAGAACAGCCTTTGTGGGAGCCCACACAGGGGCTTCTCTGCCCACCCAGAAAGCTTGAGAAAGGGTCTCCAGAAAGAGGGGTCTTTGGAACTGGGTTTCAAACAGGAACTGTCCTGGCAGAGACCAGGAGACTGGGGTTCCCCTGGACTTGGGCACTTGTTTAATATCCTGGTTCCTGGTTTTGTCATCCACAGAAGAGAGGAGAAGGCTGCACTAGGCAGGTCAGGCATTCAGGAGATGATTTCAGATTCCCTAAAGACCATATAGCCCCACCTTCTCATTTACAGGTGGGAGACAGAGCCGTAAATCGGCATTCCCCACCCCAAACCATCTGTTTCAGCCGCTGGGAGGAAAAAAATGCCAGCCTATCTGAATGAGCCTCAGTCAGAGCTTCCTGTTCATAATTTGTACTTTAACACATTCTGCCTCTAATTCTCATTTTCTCTTTTCTTTTCCATCTGTCTTGTTACTGTTTTATTTTCGGCGGTGGGGGGTGGCGCATGTGCTGGCCTGTGCTGTCATCTCCCCACTTCCCACCATCGTGATTTCCTGCCGCTCCTCCTCCACCTGTCTGCGTTGGGTGCCTGATTCCATCACCCACCGGGCTGCATTCTTCCCACACTTGGCAAAACGGTCGCGGGGGGACCCCCAGCCGCTGGCGGAGCCGCTACTACGGGAAGGGGCGTTACGGTCACCTGGACTTTAAGAACTCCTGTCCGGCTCTGGAGGAATAGTGTGTCTTTTGTGATTGCCCTTGTTTCCTGCCTGTTTGTACCCTGCTTCCTGTCTTGTGTCTGCATCCAGCTTCCCTTTTTGCCTGTTTTGTTCCCCTAAAGCCAAAGTGATGTTCTCATAGCTGAACTGGCCACCGGCAAGGGTCCCACAGGCTTGTGTGGCTCTTGCCGGGCTGAGTGGAGGCGCAGGCATACGGCAGGACCTCCGTCTACCTGCTGTGGCTTGTCGCTGGGTGGAAGAGAACTTGGGTCCTTCATCCAAATCCAGGGTGCCCTTTGACCAGAGCTTAAAGAAGGGAATGCAGTAAGCAGGATGAATGAACTTTCAGGAGGTCCGTTTTGATAGTCAGGGGCTGAGGGGAATGGGTCCATTGGCCAACCTCTGTCTAAACATTCTGTGGCTGTCCCAGGGGAACTTGGGACAGGTGCTTTGTGCCAGGTCCCTTTTGAGCTCGCTGTGTTGCCAAGCCTGGCATAGAGCGGGGATGCCCTTTCCCTCTGCAGGGAAAGTGCCCCCCCCCCCGCCCTGGCCAGGCCTCTGCCACTCCTCCTGCTCCTCCAAGGGCTCGGGTTGCTGACTCTTCTCCCCTCTTCTCTTTCTTCCCGTAGGTTGTAGGCCTGGCTGCCTTGCATGCACCAGGGGCTTTCTTCCTCCTAATCGACACTTGGCACCGTGACTTCTGCTCAAACGCAAACTGATGTGCGGGCACTAACCCAGGGGATGTGATCTCTGCCGCGCCAGGCACCTCTCCCGAGACTTCTTTTGCTTTGTTTGTTTTTAAAACGGGCCCCCTCCCCTCTCCATGGCCCACGTGTACCTGAATAACTGCTGTCCACAATCCCCTAACAGACCCTGCCCTCACCCCACCCAGCAGAGCTGCCTACTCTGACAGGACATCATTCTCTAACTCATCCTCTGTGTGAGGGCGGCACCGGTTTGTTTGGGTGATCCTGGCTCCCTACTAACACCTCAATGGGATCAATTCCCTGCTGAGCACATCAGCCCCCCTGTGGGCTGTGTCCGCAGTACAGGGGAGGGCTTTCTGTTTGGCTGTTAACCTGCAGAGGTCTCATCCAACAAGGAGTGGGATGATTTCAGAGCTGCTTGAGGCCCGCCCCATCTGGAGGGCTGGGGCGATGGACATCAGAGTCCTATTGCTATGAAAAACACTAGCTGGAAAGGGCTCTGTCCTCAGCAGTGCCCTCAGGAAAGCTGTCCTAAGACGAAGGGGGCCTGTCGCCAAATAATTTCACTGATAAGAACAAAGCTTCTGCCGCCAGCCCTCACTCCCTTTACAGACAGAAAGTACCAGACCCCAAGTCAGGCTCATCACGAGTGAGGCTAAGAGGCCACACACCATCACTGTGCTGCTTCCCAAGTGCAGATTCCTGGGGTCACCCCCCAAACCAAGTCCAGGTCTCTGGAGGCAGGCTCTGAGAGTCTGCATTTATACTTGCTTTCCAGATGGTCCTGATGCCTGCCCGCCCTAGTATTTGGGGTCCAGTTTCTCTTTTCTTCCTTTGCACTTGGAGCAGAGCCTTCCTGGCTGCAAGTGAGAAAGTACTCAGGCCTGTGGCAATGATGACATGCCGTGGGCCAAGGACTCCAAGATGAACAAGCCCCTGTCCCCTCAGGAGGGTATGCGGCCAAGTCTTAAACTCCCTTGGCCAAGTATGACCAGGAGCAGCTCTGCCGAGGCTGTTGGCTTGTAGTCGTCCTTACTTCTTGCTGGGGTCAGGTCCTCTATGGAGCTTCTGAAACTGGCCTGCTCCTGAGCTAACATTACCCTACTTCCGTCAAGACCAGCGTGGCTGTAACTCATGTTTTTGTTCCTCTTTGCAGCATTAACAGCAGCAAAGTTGTACCCCGGTTTGAAAGGTTTGGCTTGGGTGTCCTGGAGTCCAGTAATCCAAAGATGTAGCCAGCTGTGCAGTTTTTTCTGCCAATTTCTTTCTTTCTTAAATGTGTTTCTGAAGCATCCAAACAACCACCGTGACAAAAATGAAAACACTCTTCAAAACATCAGTCTACCCTAAGTGCTGCAAATCAGGAGTGTGAGTCCTCGACTCAGACCATTCATCCACAAAAACACCCGGGCTGGAGATGGAGCTGCACCTGCTGTTTCTTAAAGTGACATTACTGACAACCAGACCTGCCCCAACAGGCAGCGAATGTTTACATATATGTTTCTGGGGAGTGAATTCGATGCTTTGCAGTAGGTAATAATAAAAAGTGCTCTGCAGAGGCACACTGGCACCACTGGCCAGGATGGCAGAAGTGGCCTTCCCTCTGGAGGACCCTGTCGGCATTGAGGAAAAGAAAGAAAAGCATCATGATTGTGGCTGTTCTCCAGGGAGGAAGGGGAACCATGAGGTTTGACCTGGATGGACTCTGCTTTGGCCCTAAAGCCCAGCCATGGAGAATGTCCCTGTGTTGGGTTCTTGCCCTATCCTATCAAAGAGACGCTGTCCCTTTTTCTTCTGTCAGAAGAAACCCTGGCTAGGAACCAAGCTAGATTATGAGGGTCAGGAATTTCCAAGAGTTTGTTTCCCTTTTGACCCCAATAATCCAGCCCATCCCTGCTGGAAAAAGAGAGACAGATAAAATGCAAATAGTATCTAGATTGATCCAGGGGTTCGTGGGTTGGTAGCCAGGGTGGAGGTAGCCTCTCACCTGTGGAGAGGTTTCTTTCACACAGCTTCCAGGAAGACACCAAGGAGATGGCACTCAGGGCTTCAGCTTTTTAGACACGTCCCAGTCCTGGCTGACCTTTGACCCCAGACCTAAGGCCCAGCCCAGCAGCTGTGTATACCATGAAAGCTTGCTTGGTGAGGACAAAGGGAAGGGAGAAGTGGCAGGGCTCCTGAGCCCACCCTCCCAGTCACAGGGGTGACCTGGCTCTTTGGAAGCTCTATCAGTCATGCCAGGGTTCTGGAACTGCCTGCCCATTCTCCCCCTGTACTGTTGAAATGAAAGCCCATAGCCACTCCTGACTCTTCTGCAGTCCGTGTTCTGAGCTCTTAGCTAAGACAGGAGGCCTGTGCCCCTCCACACCATTCATCTAGACCCACCCAGCCCACCAGTCTTCGAGCCTTCCCATGAACTAAGTCAGGGCCACCTATCTATGTGTGTACCTTTGCACGAGAAGGAGGGGTGTGAGTAGGGGAAGTCTGTGATGTGAGAGCACCCTCCCTATCTTCATTAGAAGCTGTCACCCAAAGGGAAAGTACCAAATGGCAAAGAAGCCTTCAGTGGGTGTTACCATGTTAGGCCTCAAGCCAGAACTGACTGAAGGTGACAAGGGTGGAGATGTGGTTGGATTCAGACCCAGAATGCTCTGAGCCATGCCCTGAGCCAAGATGGAGGGGCATGTGGTCCTCTCATCCCTTTCATTTAGACCCATTTAGCAAAGCTCCCAATCTTCAGGGCCTTCCCTGGAGTCTAGCCAAAATGTCCTATGAAGCAAGCCACTACCTAGAAGTTGTAGGGCTGTCTTCCTGTCCCCAGGTCAGGCACCCCTTGGCTGACACACGCTTAGCAGAGCTGTGCAGCCATGCAGGGTATCTGGGCTCCCACTGCCCATCAGCACCCCAGACCTGAGCTCCTTAACCCTTCCCAGTCAGGGTGCTTGGGGAAGATTGGAGCTGTAAACCAGCTGGATTCAGCTCCAGGTGGGACTGCTTTCACCTCCTCATCCCTTGGCCTCCCCAATGAGTATCATGCCGCAGATCAGTTTCAGGAAGCTTTCGTCAAACACCAACGGTGTCTTGTGCAAGTGCAGGGGACTCCGCAACAGGAGCAGCCACAGTCTCTGCCCTTAAAGGAACTGACCCTCTGCCAGGAACCGTGAGGCGGAGGTGAAGGTCTGGTGGTGACAGCCCCTTCATCTGCAGGACCCTGGACAGCCTCCCAGCTCTTGGCCTACCCCTGCACTGCCTGTCATTTAAGAGAAAAGTAGTCCCCTTCTCCCACTCAAAGTGACTGTGAATTGAGGTTGAGAAGACATGCTTGCCCTTCTGTGTGCTCTTCCCGTCTGTTGTGGAAACACGAAGGACGGCAGATACTGTGAATTCAGCCTGCATGGCCAACTGTGAAGGGGATGGAGAAGCTGAGATGGCCTCCTTGGCGAGAGCTCTGGGGATAGCGGGGGATCCCCACCAGGGTCTGAGAGTGGACCCCAAGCATTGGTCCTTCATGGCACGTCCCCAGTCCCTAGCATCCCCTCCAAAACCCTAGGGCCCTTGTCCCTGCTGCCTTTAGCCACCAGAGCTGCAGTCCCTAGGTCTCTGTCCAACTCAAGGTCTTCAGTCCTAGCAAGCTCCCTGTTGGTCGTGGGCAGTGTAGCAACGTTGACCTCACCATGTCACCAAATCCATGCAGGGTGCTGGAGCGCCTCTGCCCTCTTAGTGGCATTTCTCGTGACTACAGGGGGCAGCTGTGTGTCCTATAAGCCTGCATTGCTGTTGTTCCGTGTTGATTAGGGGGCCGAGTGGAGATGTAAATGTGAAGCCGTTTAGAGAGCTTGTGTGATGCTGCAGTGTTAGCCCGGATTTCATTAGTGTGTGTAAAACCAGCGTCTTCCGTGGCCACAGGCACACACTTGCTTTTTTGAATGTGATGTAAAATTTGTACAGTAAAAGTTTTTATATTTTCTATCAACTGCATTTGTCTTCCAGAAATGCTATTAATTTAAATTAAAATGGTTAGTATTAATGAACGTGCTGTATTAGTTTTTTGCCACTGGCAAGAACACATCTTTTGTGCCAGGCCAAGCCTGGGTGTCTGGAGTTTGTGAATAAAAGTGTACCATGATGTCTGGGGCTTGTGTCTACTTGGATCAGTTCCAGATGAGTGTGAGGAGCTACTCGGATGGCACAGGGAACAGGAATGGGGGTGGGGGAGTCAGTGGGGGTTGCACCCCCTCTAGGAGCACCTTCCGAAGAAAGAAATTATCCATGGACCTTGAAGGCACAGAAGAGTGGAGACAGAATGGCATCAGAACCCATGATGCACAGAGGATGGTCATCCAGCCCTCAAGAGTAAGCAGACCTAAATCCAGTCAGTGTCTCCTGGGCTGGAGATGCCTTGCCTCATGGAAGCCTTAGAGGTGGGGTGGGAAGTGGAACGCTCATTTATCTGAATCTTATTTCTAGGAGCCTCTCCTTGCCAGTCAGGTAGAGAAGTAGGTGCTTTGGAGGTTGGAGTGAGCAGAACAGATAGAGGAGAGGGATCCAGTATTCACAAGGCCCTCTTCTGAGCCAGGGAGGTGCTTTCTGTACATGCCACCCACCCTCCTTAGTGTAATCCTCCAAACGATGCCATGAGGCAGGAATTGTGATGTTTCAATCAAGGAAGCTGGGGCACAAGAGGTTGATCCCCCAAGATGACATGGCTGAAAGGTGGCTAGTTCAGGATGCAGTTCATGGCTTTGACGCCAAAACTTCCTTTCAGCGAAAGACAAGGAACTTACCAGTCATTTACTGAGCACCTGTGCTCAGGCAATGGTGCTAAGTTCTAGAACACAGATAAAAAGGTGGTAGTGCCCTTGCCTTCAGCTATGAGCCCTGCATGGAGCCTGCTTCTCCCTCTGCCTGTGTCTCTGCTTCTCTATGTCTCTCATTAATAGATGAATAAAATCTTTAAAAAAAAAAAAAAGATCCCTGGTTATCTTGGAAAGGGGGAGGGAGGGTTTGGCACACAGTGGCCCTTTGACACATTGTTTAATATTTAACATTCCCTAATTACCTCTGTACCCTGCAATTGGATTTTTTGTATGCTATTGCATTCATGCAGGCTTCTGCAGGGATAGATGGCTCCAGAGTTTGGCACAGGAATATAGTGGGGGTTGGGGGCAGCGCTGGCAGGTACTGGTGGCTGGTGTATGGAGGAGGGACAAAGGGTACCACAGCTCCCACATGGCAGCGCACCTGGGTCCTTGGGCATAAGTTTTAACGCGTATACGTGGAGGAGAGCTTTGTTTTTTTAGAGTAGTTTTTTTTTTTTTAAGAGATCTTATTTATTCATGATAGACATAGAGAGAGAGGCAGAGACACAGGCAGAGGGAGAAGCAGGCTCCATACTGGGAGCCCAACGTGGGACTCGATCCCCGGACTCCAGGGTCACGCACAGGGGCCGAAGGCAGGCGCTAAACCACTGAGCCACCCAGGGATCCCCGGAGGAGAGCTTTGTAACTGGAAGAATGAGCTCTCCCATCGCCTGCTGCTAGGCTGAGAAGAATGCAGATACAATCCAGTCTTTAGGCCTGCGCCTCCCAAAACGTTGACAGGAGCTTTGTGTCTTCAGAAAGTGTGTGTGACTCCGAAATGGGTCTCCCCATCCTGTGCCAGAAGCCCCAAGGGGCCAGTTGAAAGCAGTGGTTGAGGAAGGTAGCTCAAAGATGTTCTCAGGGCCAAGTACCAACTGGTTTGCAGGAGAAGGTGCTCAGGGCTCGAAGTTGATAGGAGCTAGAGCAATCGCCTGAGGGAGCAGCCGGCACCCAGCGAGAATTCTTCCCACAAGTGGGAGGGTGGTGAAGACTGGGGAACTGGACAATGTGCTCTGTGAGACAGCTGGTCCCCATCTCTGGTGAACTGTCGCCTCCTGGGAAGGAGAACCCAGTGTTGCCAGACCTTCCCTTTTATCTTTTTTTTTTCTTTTAAGATTTTATTTATTTATTCATGAGAGAGGCAGAGACATAGGCAGAAGGAGAAGCAGGTTCCCCACAGGGAGCCCGATGTGGGACGTGATCCCCAGACCCAGGATGGTGCCCTGAGCCAAAGATGCTCAACCACTGAGTTACCCAAACATCCCTTGTTTATCATTCTTTTCGTTTGTTTTTAACAGGACCTAGAAGTCTGGATTTTTTATTTTTTATTTTTTTTGGTGAAATCTCCAAATTTCCAAAAGTTAGCTTTTCTTTTTCATTTTATTTTATTGTTTTATTTTTATTCTGTGTATAGGACAAACAAAACCAGTTTGCAGACTGGCCGTGGCCCACAGGCCACCCAGTGTAGGTTCTGGCCCGACCCTGGGGGCCGGCAGGAGGCAGCTGGAGCTAAGGACGAGCTGGTGCCAGGAGGCCCAGCATCAGGGGAGATTGTGCAGGCTCGCCCTCCTCCCTGCCGCCCGGGCCGTGTGCTCTGGGGACACACGCTGATTCACCGCACATGGCAGCACCCCTCTCCAGAAGGCCCGGGGCTTGGTGGTGGGAGCCCGACATGTCACTGGACTTCGGTGCAAGGGGGTGTCCTCTGGCGGCGCCCGAGCAGTGGACGCGTGGGGGCGACTTACGTACCAGAGCTCTGGAGTCCAGCCACTCGCATTAATCCCTGTTCGATTTGGGGCCTGGACAGTCCCCAGCCCTCCTGCAGATCCCGCTGTCAACAGGGCCGCCCGACGACGAGAGCCTGATCCTGTGCTCCCACCTGCCTGCCCCAGAGCACACGGCCACTGCCCCCCAGCTGAGAGCTGCCCAGGGAGAGGCCCCAGCTACTGGTAGGTCCTTAACCCGCCTTGAGGCAGCAAGTGATGTAGAGTCACACAGTGAGAAAGTGATTCTCTTTCCAAGTATCCTTCAGTCCCTCTGGGGACCCCAAGAGGAAAGGCCCGGATGGTTAGTAGCCTCCTCTCCCACCAGCGCTGATCCGCCTTTTACCACAGTCTCGGCCCCTTGCAGACTCAGAACTTCCCAGGAACAGCGTTTTACAGCTGGAGCTTAATAGCCTTCTCCCTCCACCCCCACCTCTTAAATAAACATAAATCTCATTTTAACCATTTAACTGTGTGGCGCCTAAGGCCCCCCCCCAGAAATTGCACAATGTCGCTTTTGCGTTCTGTCGGCCACAGTAAGTTATGCGCCAACCCCAATTCAGGGGCAGGAAAGGAGACTCCATCTCTCGAGGGGAGGAAGAGCAGTCACATTGCAAGCGGCGTGGATGCACTTTAGAGTATCTCTAAAGACCTGGGCTCCAGGGCAGCCTGGGTGGCGCTCAGCGGTTTAGCACCTCCTTCAACCCAGGGCATGATCCTGGAGACCCGGGATCGAGCCCCACGTCGGGCTCCCTGCGTGGAGCCTGCTTCTCCCTCTGCCTGTGTCTCTGCCCCTCTCTGTCTCTCATGAATAAATAGATAAAATCTTTAAAAATAAATAAAGACCTGGGCTCCAGCCCTTAGGATATAAGCCTTCAGAGGGAACAAGCTTTCTGATGTGGATTAATCCTGGGAAGGGAAAGCTAGGCCCTCTCTTTTGCTCCCCAGAGCAGCTTGGAATGGGAGGGGATTGGTGAGGATGGCCCCAGGACAACACACAAAGTCTCTTTTGTTCTGATCCAAAAGTCCACAGCACCTGTGAACAGCTGTCCCCATGCACATGTTATGTGCCAGGCCCTGCTGTAAGCACTATGCACGATTAACTCACTTAATCCTCCTACGGCTCTACTCGGGAGGTACTACTACCGTCCCAGTCTTACAAATGAGAAAAGAAGCAGACCTGAAAGGTAAGTTGTGGGGTGAAGAGCCCTCAGCTGGTAGTGTCCTCTTTAATCAGTGCTGTCACAAGCCCAGCTAAAACCCGGGCTTCTAGCGCTCTGGGGAAGAGATTCAACCCTTTGGCTCAGGGCATGATCCTGGGGTCCTGGGATTGGGTCCCACATCGGGCTCCCCTCAGGGAGCCTGCTCCTCCCTCTGCCTATGTCTCTGCCTCTCTCTGTTTGTCTCATGAATGAATAAAGAAATAAAATCTTTAAAAAAAAAAAGTTTGTGTACGGAGATGGGCCAGGGCACTGTCTAATTTCCAAAGTGGTTGCGAGTTTCCTTCTTCCACCCCCATCCTTACCTTTAAATAAATAATAAAAAGATCGTCAGTCATTTCAGTAAGTTTCTAGTCTGGGAGGAAGGAACAGCATTGGAGGAGTATACCAGCACAGGTTCATTCACCTTATCGAGTAGGAACTGAGTGTCTACTATCTTTCCCATCTTTCCCTCTTGAGCACATTACTGGGCCGACACCCCTTGGGAATAGAGGTGGTCAGGGCCGAGGTGCAGGGAGCCTGGGCTCTGAATCTTACCCGGCCCCTCCTTTGTTGGGTGGATCGGGCAAGCCTTCCATGGCAATGTGGAAGAAAGCCCTGAGTCATAGAGGAAGGAGCCTGGGATTTGCCACATTTCTGGAACACTACCAACCATCAATGTCTGCACCTGGGCACATTATGATGGTTGCTGGGAGGAGGCTGAGGACCAGCTGTGACATATGGAAAAAACTGTAGGATATTAATTGGTAAGAACCACTGAATGACAGGGCTGCTAAAAATAATACCATGTTAGGCCATATTACTAGAGGTAGAGTGTCTAGAAACTAGAGGTGAAAGCTCCACATGGTTATATATTGTTCAGAGATTTTGGGTGCAGGATGTAGGTCTGGACACATACCAGGAGGCCAAGGTAAAGCAAGAGAACATCGCTACATGCCTGTTGTGTGGTATATGTCTTCTTATTTCATTTTTTTTTATTTACTTATGATAGTCACAGAGAGAGAGAGAGAGAGAGAGGCAGAGACACAGGCAGAGGGAGAAGCAGGCTCCATACACCGGGAGCCCGACGTGGGATTCGATCCCGGGTCTCCAGGATCGCGCCCCGGGCCAAAGACAGGCGCCAAACCGCTGCGCCACCCAGGGATCCCTGTCTTCTCATTTCATAACATTATATGAAACAAGTATTACCCCCATCTACAGAAGGAGTAGGGGACCACTGAGGAGAAGTAACCATGGTTGGACATCCAACCGTCTGTCCAACCTCATCTAACCATGAGGAAGCTTGGACTTGAAGGATTTGAAGACAAGTTTGGCTGACTCAAAGTGTCTGGCTCTTGCTTTGACCCCTGGGTTCCTTTTTTTTTTTTTA